CACATTCTCCTTGGATAGGCAGAAGAGGCAACGTTTTAATTATAAAAGGATGTGCAAAAGCATGAGTGTGCTTTGGGTTTGTGGTTAGAAATCAGAATTGAAAATACAGAGAAGTGTATCCCTTTGGGGACACTTGGGGAATACAGAGTTCCTGTATGTCTTAAGGAACTTGCTGTCTCTCTAGCAACGTCCAGTTGCACAGCTTTGGAAGTGGTATTTTTAGCCATTTTTAGGTGGTATATTTTCTCCATTTCATAAGGCTGATTTTCTCTCTTTTACCTTCTCTGTTCTCATTAGATTCATCTGTATTTGTTGGAATGATGTCACTATTTAGCAATTGTACTGGCATAATATGGCAGAATTCCTTTTTACCCTTAGGACTCAACTTCTCAAGCCTTCTGTGTGTCAATTATTTGCTTTGCAGTTCAGAAGCAGTGGAAACGTGGCCTTTCGCTTAAAACTGAAGCAGCAGTCTTAAGAAAATGCTGTTTTCAGTGGTGATAAGTCAAAATCCACAGTGCTCACTGCAGATTTACAAAGAATGTTGTTTTTATCTGGGTCGGTATTTGCTTGAATATTTTTGAGATTGCTCTGGAAACAGTAATGGCCTTTTCATGGTGCATTTTTTGGCAGCATTTGAGAGAGTTGCTTGCAGACAAAAATGTTCACTGTAAGTGTAAGTTATACAGGTACGTGTTTACCTCCCTAGACATTCTTGTGGTCTGCTCTGGTTCAAATGGAAGCAGTGTCACTTGACATTCCAGGATAGCTGGATCTCTGCAGTTTTACACAAGCACTGTACTCTTCATGCTCGGCAAATATATGCTTCATCTCCAGGTTTATTTTAATGTACTTTCTTTTTAATAATGTAACAACATTTGGGGAGTTTAAGAAAATCCCATGTACACATGATTAGGACAGGAGTGAAGAGAGGACCTAAATTCCTCTGCTAAATTGCTTGCAAATCACATGATAGACACTAATCCTTTTCCTTTAAGCATATGGAACTTGTGTGGGTGGTGTTTAAAACACTGTATTTGAGATTATAGAGTCATACTTTGCTTTGATGTGTGCCAACAATAGTAAATAGATACCATCCTATATAGCAGTGTTTTTAAAATCTTATGTTTCAGTTAGAACACTTTAAAATTCATTGTTTTTTCAAATATGATGTACTATTGCAGAAGAAAGGGAGAGAAATAGTGTCATTTAGAGAGGCCTGTGGAGAAATGGCTTTTTTTAGTATTTTTGAAAGGAGAAATGGCTTATTTTATGGTTTTTGACAGGACTATTTAAAAAACAATCCCAGGGTAAATACCAAGATCCAGATAGTTTAGTTGGTTTAAGAGATGCACAGAAAGCCTCTTAAGGAAATATTTTTCAGGATAATTTGTTTTATTTTGTTTTCTTTCCTTGAATTGTCATGGGCTTGCTTCTACTCTAATGATGAGGAAAGGTGGTACAAGGACATGTTGTGTATAAATCCTTTCCTAAAAGATTGGCAGGTAGAGATTTGGATTTCCTTGGAAAAGGTCCTTCTATTCTTTTGCTGCTGTACATCATGTACACTGTGGCTTTCTTCATATATTTGTTTCCTTCTAAAATTATCTCTCTGAAGATTTTTGAGCTGATAGAGGGTTGCAATAAATTAACATGGAACACAGTAACAGTATGTACATGTAATTTAGTCTGATTTTTCTTTTCCTCAAATTGTATTATAAAAAGAGAAATTGTTACCAAAGTTCTGGGTATATCTGTTTGTAATGTGTGCATATGCAGTAGTGCTGTAAAATTTGGGCATCAAACATTTGAGGGAAGTGCAGTCACTGTTTAGTGCCATCCTCTCCTGTGAGAGTCTCCCCAGAACATTGTCTCAGCTGGAGTCAGTCATGGGCACTTCTTCTACAAGGGATAGCTTATGTAACTACAATTAAATACCTGAAATTCTGAGACCTGCACTTCCTCAGCCTAATTCTGTAGACAAGTAATGTTACCAGGATGTCAAATCACATCTTTCTGATGGGCTGAGGCAGAGCTGGCTGACTCATCTCCTAGACAAGTGTCCACAGGTTCAGCCTAATAGCATGAGGCATGTGGAGAATATCTGCCAGCCTCTAGCACAAGGTATCATTAGGACATGATGCAACAAATATTACAAAGATCCCTGAAAATATTTATAGGAGATTCCTTCTGTGGTTCAGGAGCTGAATGTGGCAGGCAGTGGTTTCATTGCAAACAGGATTTTATTTTTTTCTTTCTATAAGGACAGGTGTTTTATACATGTAAACATATGCATATATTTAAATAACAATCTAAACATGCTATTAACTAGGACAGTCCCAATCTCAACCTTGATCCTGTTCTCTTTCCCCTTCCACTGCCTCTGCCACCAACCAAACCCCAAATTAAAATAACTCTTTAGACTCAGTCATGAACAGGTGCCTTCAAAGGCTGTATATCCCCTAAAACACAAGAAAGCAGGAGCAGTGAAATGTTAATTCAGACAGAAACTCAACTTGCCAGCCATCTCTGAAAGCTTCTTTCATGCTTGTGACCCCTCCCAGATTTGTACCAGAGGATGTGTTTCTCAGGGTGCCTGAAAGGTCACTGGGTTTCAGTGGTGTAGGAGCAGGTGGGGAGGACACTGCACAAACCTTCCCCTTGAGAAGACTCAGTAACACCTGCATTTAGTGGGTGTGTGCTGTCTGCAAGGTCTCAAAGAGCCCAGCATATGTATGGGTAAACTGGAGAGAGACACTGGGGGAGAAATAATTAATCCCTGGTGCTGTTTCAAAGTATTTAGGAATGATAACTCTATAAAATAGCTGCTGAGAAAAAGGAGTTAACAGGTTTCAACAACCAATTCACACCTTTATTTAAAGAAAGCAGAAGATAAAAGACTTATCCCACAAAACTGCAGAGAAAAAAGGCTTGCTGAATTTAGTGTATTTTAAATTTGGGCCACCACTATTCCAAGCACTTGTTCTTGGAAAAATCCCAAAAAATAACTTTACATGTTATTTCATTAGCTAATCACTCATTTTCCAGCATCTGGTTTCTGTCTTAGTCAAAGTACTAGCCAACAGAGCCCTAAAAAGATACTCTTCTGAAGCCTTTTGTTTTCTGTGTTGCTGGTGGAGTTTTGGGGGTGCAAGGTGTTAGTGAATAGATAGCCAAAGATCCTACTTATTAATTGCATCTAGGAAACTGTCTTGTGCAAGGCATGAATAACCAGTTGTTAAGGTGTAGTATGGCTTTGATCATATCTGATAAATGCTCTATTGTTTTTTTGGTTTAGGGTTATTGTCTTAACCTTTAAAAAAAAACTCAAAGCAATAAAATTAATACCTTCCTGCAAAGAAAACCCTAACAAATTACAATCAAACAAAAAGCTCACAAAACCCACAGCCAACCCTGAAATTTTCTAACCCCATTTCAGCATGATCCCAGTGCTGTAACCATTTAGGGTGGCTTATAAAGAGAATCAGAAAACATTTTGGAGCCATGGTTACAGGAGCTAAATAAGCAGTAGGTGCTTGATCTAAGACAACTTTAACGCCACAAAAGCACCGACTTTTCTATTTTTTTGGTCTGAATTTAATGCAATGTTTTATTCTCTCTTTACCCTACTGAAAATTTGATCAGCATTCTTTCATAAATGGCATCTGATGTGGTATCTCTCTTCAGCTCTTTGTGGTTTCCTGTTTTTCATATACAGATGAAAGTATCTGCTGAGATCTATTAAACTTCTCATTTTGTCATTTATGACTTTCTCAATACAAGCCTGCATGTAACAAATGCATTTCTTTGCACTTAAAAATGCAGTGAATATCTTATGCAATAGAAATACAGGGCTGTATCTTTAGTTAAACTTAAAATTACTGCTTGTTTTAATTTAGGATAACTGCATAGTATTTGTTACACACGACAAACGTAATGCAGTTGGTTTTCCTCCATCATACTAAGTAATTTATATTTCTGCATGAGAAAATACTTAGAAAAACTAAGGCAGTTTGAACTAATAAAATTTACAGGAAATATTACTGAATTTGTGAGGCCTGTGTCTTTTGTTGATTTAGCAGTTCTTAACAAAATATTACTGTGAACATGTGAGATCTTGTCCTGAATAATTATGCATTGATTATATTTTGGTTAATTAAAATGTTTTTAAAATATCATATAATATGATCTCAATGTGTGGCAGAACATTTTTAAGAGTTGTTAAGGCTTGGCAAAATTTTGATTTTACCCTAATGACACAAGAAGAATTGCTGTTATTGAGAGTGCTAAGATAGAGCACATTAAAGTGATCAACCTCATGCCAGTTTCCAAATACACATACTTGGCTGGTAAAATAACTAATATGCATTATCTTCAACTGTGCAAATAAAAACTGAATCTGACAGAACATGGCTTTCTGTGTTAGGAAGGATAATTCTAATTTCCTGTCTATTAAAGTTAATGTAACTGTCGTGGCTTATGACAGGGCTTGGACCACTCCTAGTGGTATCTGGTTGATTGCTGTCATGTTACTTGACCACTGTTCAAGAGCTTTAGCTATAGCAAAAATCACATAATTGTAGATATTAAATTGATGCTTATCATTCTGGGAAGGGAGGCTGTGAAGAAAGGATTTCTTTTACAAGCATAGAATAGGTCCTTTACATTATCTCTGAAAGGATGTGAGATTGTTTGCAACACTTGCTTAGTAGGGTATTTTGGTTTCTGCACCGTTCTTTTTGTGGTACTCCTAAAGAAACTTGAATATTTATCATTTGAAATAAATGACATTCAGCTGTGTTTAAAGGAAGGTAAGCCATTCTTGTATTTGCTTAGGCTGCTTTCAGAAAACTTAATTTGAAGGAGTGTTTTTCCTCCACACAGAAACCAAATTAATGTTACAGTTCACTCCTTTAAAAGTTCAGTTTTGATGTCTAAATGAGGTATCAAGTCTTAAATATGTTATTTCATTGAATTTATTCTTTCTACCTATTTAACAGAACTATAGTGCCATGGAAGGTGTTCAGGCAGTGCCTTCATGAAGTTCATCAGATTAGCTCTGGTTTGGAAGCAATGGCTCTTAAATCTACTATTGACTTGACCTGCAATGACTACATTTCAATTTTTGAATTTGATATCTTCACTAGATTATTTCAGGTAAGATTTGAAAATTATAGATAATTGTGTGAATTTGAGATGCTTAGTGTCCTGAGGCAAGGAAGCAGATTTTTTTAAAAAAACTGAAAGAACTAAAACATTGCGGTTTAGAAATAAATTGTGCATTTCTTCTAGTCCTTCAGAGGTGTTAGAGGCAGCAACACACACATCTGAAAAACTGAAAGCATCCAGCAACACCTGCTTCATTTCTGCACGCATCTAGTGTTATTACAATAGCTGTTTACTACTTACTTATTTTTCACTATTTTTAAATACATTCCTAGAAATGTAGACCTCCTGATAATCAGTTTTAGTTGTGTTTTTTTTGTGCATTTGTTTCTATATATATGAGGTGTTTCTGCAAACTCATGAGGACAGTTACACACTACTTTCTTTTAGGCTAAATATAGGCCTAACTCTTTTCTTTATTAACATATTTTTACTATTAAAGCTTATTTACAACAAGGAACTATATTTGGGAATAGCATTAATTGTATTACTATTTATCTGAAATAAGCTTTTAATGTATGTTACGTGTCTATTTTAACCTCATGTCTCTTCTACAGAACATACTTGAGGTATTTTAGTTAATATAGAAGACTGTACTGGTTTGCGTACATATTAGATGTACTGTTTCTGAAATTTATCACTTTGAATATTTCTTTTGTATATAGAAACCATTGAGATACACAAAGATTTATTTGATAATTTATTTTCTTTACGATGTACAGTGGTAAACCAGTTCAGTCTTCTATATTAACGTGTTGCACTAGCAAAGGTTTAGGCTGGACATTAGGAAAAGTGTCTTCACTGAAAGGATTATCAAGCATTTGGGGACATGATTTAGGGGGGGACTTGGCAGTGCTGGGTTAACAGTTGGACTCAATGATTTTTAAGGTCTTTTTCCAACCTATATTATCATTATTCTTTAGCCAGATGGGGATATGTTCAAATTATCAACTTTACTTCAAACCCTGGGTTGATGTTTTTTCTGTTTTCCACATTGCCCTGTGCTAATTGTTGCTTAGATGTCCTCATTTTGCTGTTATGGGAAAGGGTGCCATTATGAAGTTAATAGTAAAATCTGGCAGGAGGGGATTAATGATTTTAGTATATAGAGTTTTGATTTTGATTATCTCTTCTCCATTCTGAGTCAAAACATTGTCACAGTTGCAAATGTTAATGGTGTCAGTAATCTCTTTTTAACTGAACCACAAATATTGGTCACTTATTTTCTTTGTGAGGCCACTGCTGGTTTGATTCATTTCTGTGCCTTATGCTAGAAGAAGGGGATCAGCAGTATTGATACATGTGAAGAGAGATGACTGGTAAGGGTTAACTTTTAATTCAGCAAAGAAGCAGAGAGATATGTCTTGCCAAACAGATTAGGTGCAAAAGCTTCGTAACTGTTGAACTGAACTTGCACTGAACTTGGTCTGAGAACTTCTCCCAGGAGGTTACATTTTACTTCTCTAGTTTTTAAACAGCTTCTGTAACTATGTGTGCATACACCCACTGAGAGAAAATCCCAATTAAGTAATCAAAATACTGTTTTGCCAACTGTGGGTTATGTTACAGAAAAGCTGCATTTGTAATGGTGTTTATTCACAAAAGAAAGCACGACTCAGCTTTATGGAGATCCTGTGAAAGTGAAGTTGCTCCCCCTGCCTCCCCATTGTATGTATGCACAGCTTTAAATGCTGTGTTCCCTGACCAGAGAGAAGCTTAGCACAGCAGAATATCTGGATGCTCTGCAGGAACTTCAATCTGTTACTTTAACATGTCCTTTGGTGTGAAAATACTTCCACTGAAGATAAAGGGAACAAATCTTGTCCCATTTAGCACTTCTGCTCTGGTACGACTCTGCTCACAAGGCAAGCTATGGATTCTTGCCTTTGAATGATTTGGGTTGGAAGAGACCCTAAAGATTATCTTGTTCCAACCCCCCTGCCATGGTAAGGACACACTTCATCTACACCACGTTGCTCAGAGCTCCTCTAGCTGCAATGTTGTGGATCAGCTTCCCTGGGCAACCTGTTGCAGTGCCTTCATTACACTTCAACTGAAGAATTTCTTCCAAATATCCAGTCTAAACCTATAGGCTTTCAGTTCAAAACCATTCCTCCTCGTCTTATCACTCCAAGCCTTGTAAGGTCCCTCTCCAGCTCTCCTGTAGACCCCTTTAGGTACTGGGATGCTGCTCCAGGTTTCCCCAGAGCCTTCCCTTCTCCAGGCTGAATAATCCCAACTCTCACAGCCTGTCTTTATAGGAGAGGTGCTCCATCCACCTGATCATCCTGCTGTCCCTCCTCTGGACTTGCTCCAGCAGGTCCATGTCCTTCCTGTGCTGAGGGCTGAAGAGCTGGATGAAGCTGTTTGGGGGGGGGTCTCATGAGAGTTGATGAGATGGAGAATCCTCTCCCTTGCCCTGCTGGCCACACTGCTCTGGGTGCAGCCCAGGACACATCTGGTTTTCTGTGCTGAGAGTGCACCTTGCTGGGTTGTGTCCAGCCTCTCATCCAGCAGCACGCCCAAGTCCTGCTCATCAGGGCTGCTCTCAATCCATTCTCCACTCAGCCTGTACTTGTGCTTGGGATTGCTCAATCCCTATGCAGGACCTTGCACTTGGCCTTGTTGAATTTGTTGAAGGAGCTGACAGGATGCAATGTTGAATCTAGGACTGGAATTATTTTATTTTTCCCTCCTTGCATTTGGAGAATTTAAGGTTTCTTATGACCTTTGTGCTGAAACCTGTCTTCTATTCCACAAGTACAACTTGATGAGGTATTAATTTTAAAATGAACAGGTATTCATCTGTGTTTAGGTAGTGGCTAGGGTTTGCCTGGGAAATGTAACACTCTTAAGCAGAACTGTTAGGATAATCTGCTCAAGCATGTCACACTAGCATTTCATCTCTGCCTGATTAGCCCTTAGAAGTTCTTTTAAAGGGAATTTGCAGCGCACATAATAACACAAGACTCTTGTCTTGTGTCACTTAACTTCACCTGCCTTGATCTTCTGAGAAATAGATTAAAAATCTGCAAACCAATCAGAGTCAGTTTATTGACTTCCCAAATGCTGGCAATGGACATTTATATATCTATATTAATCCGCTACTTTAAAAAATCATTCTTCACTTACAGTAATGGACTATTCCATATTCTTTTAAGTGATAGCATATCAGGCATGTTTCACTGAGTTTTCTGAAGCTTTTACATTCAGGTTAGCAAATATTCAGGTGAAGTATCAGTATTTGTTTTGTTTTCTGGCTTTAATGCCATTATGGTGACTGAAGAAATCAAGAAGTAGAGGATAAAAAAAGGAATGACAGCTCAAATTAGCAGCTTTATTATGATTCATTTGTTAATGTTACTTATCATTAACTATCAAGTTGTCTCAGGCTTAATTGTGTTTTTTATTAAAACATCATGGAGTCATACTTTCCAGGTTCTAACTAAATATGATGTTAAATATTTTATGTAGCTATGAATAGAAGGTCTCCTAAATCCAGGGTCTTCAAAATCTCTATCCAAAAAGTTGTGCTTGGTGTTCTTTGGATATATAGGACAGTCCTTTGTACCATTCAAACATAAAGCAAAAGTATGTATTTTTCAGCTGAAGCTAAAACACTTCAGGTGTTTCTGACTCACAAACTTGAGTTTTATTAGAAATACAGAATTACCTGGCTTAGTCCCTTTACTTGTTTGTCTTCTCTTTGTAGCCATGGGGCTCAATCTTAAGGAATTGGAACTTCTTAGCTGTGACACATCCTGGATATATGGCATTCCTGACGTATGATGAAGTGAAAGCAAGGCTGCAGAAATACAGCACTAAACCTGGGAGGTGAGAGGTTTCACTGCGTATTGCTTTCCAAATAAACTTGCTGTCTCAGAACCTACATAATTATGCTGGGTTCATACTTCTATTTTGCATATTTTTGCATTTTATTTAACACCCACTGATGCACTGAAGAAGCGAAGCAAAAAAAATCATATTAGCACACCAAAGTCTAAATATGTAAAAATAAACAGAAAGAAATTGAAAATAAATTGCTTTTTCTTTCTTCTTCTGAATCAGGCAAAACCAGCAATAAATTCTTGAAAAGCATATTTCAAAATATAATTTGATGTTCAAAATTGACATTGAATTTTTGCTTAATAGTAAAGCAAGAATCATCTTAACATCTTTCATGGTAACATTCGAGCTATAAATTTAATCTGTGCTTTTGTGTTCCTTTTGTGTTTCATATCTTTCTTTTTCCTTTGCCTGTATCATTCTATGTCATAAACTCTTCACCTAGAAAAGCAATCAGTGAGATTAAAGATCATGACATGTAGAGTTTTTAAATACTTTTGATGTGGTGCTGTGCATAGTAAATTAGTTAAACTGAGCTTTTACCACTATGTCACTGTTGTCCTGGGTTTTTTCTTCACTTGGGAGAAAAAGAAAATCAATAATGGATTTAATCCTATATTACTTACCATTTATTTTGGTAGTTTTATATTACAATTATGAAGCTTTTTCCCTAATTCTCCCTGTTGAAGCTTCTGCAGAAGCACATAGTTAAAGTGCATTGCTTTTAAACTTGTTAATGAAGTCTACCAACAGTTATACCCACATTCTGTACTTTGTTCCTTTCAATTTTCAGCAAATAGTATACTGTATCTTAAGTTACCCTAGTAGTCAAGTTCATACATACAAAAATCTTGTGGTTCCAACAGAAAACTGCTGATTTTTAGCTTGATACTCATGGACACTACTACATAAGTCAAATAAATAGGTTGATTTTGAGAGCATTTGATACATTTAGTATTTTCTCTGTTATTGATCTTGATGCTGTGATAGAAAAATTACCCCATGTAGCTTTTATGTTCCTTGTAAATAGACAGTTTTAAGGCTGCTTTCTATTGCATATCAGAAAATTACTTTCTGAGTTGCTTAGATGAAATGCTGGAATGGGAAACAGGGGATATGAAGTGAAATTTCTTCTTTAATCTGACTAAAACGTCCTGCAAATTGCAAGATTCTGTTCAGATGAATAGTTAGTACTTCATTGTAATGTGGGCCCTACTGAAGGTTGTAAGAGCTCTGTCAATCTTCAGAGAGGCTTAGATGTCTCATATTAGTTTGGAATGAAATAAAATATTGATGTGTAATTAAGAAAAGCTGCTCTAAAATACAGAATTGAATTTGTGGTCTTTCACTGTGAGATGCTTTTCTCAGTGAGGTTTTGCATGTGAAATGGTGTCTGACATGAAAGGGAGTAGAATTTTTAGTATGAAGCTCTATACATGCCCAATCCTGTTGCTTGTAATCTTCCTTGTTTTCTGATTGTGCTCTCTGTCTACATTATGTATACTCTCACCTATCACCTGTAACACAGAGAAGTATTTAAATCTAAGTTCAATCGTGTAGTTAATATTTGATTTTTCTGAACAGAAGTGGTATTTCTTTTGTTCACCTCCACAGGCTCTCAAGAAATTACCATTTTCTAGTAGAGCAGGTTTTATCATTCATCTTTCCTGTTTCTGTTGCACTTAAAGAGGCTTTATATTTTTCCATCCACTTGTTCAGGGGATTGGCCTGCACGTGCACAAAAGGTGTCTGTTGTAGTTATGGAGACTGAATCATATCATATAGTCCTATGGAAGAGGTTTATGGACATGTCTGAGTGAAACTGCTCAGGGTGAATGTGCAGCTTTCACTCTGAGAACTAAAAGAGAAGCAGATGAAAAGCAGAGGGTAGGCAGCTACTCTTATTTTATTTCTGCCCATGAGAAACTGACAGTGTAAAAGAGACTTAAATTTGTAGAAGAGATTTAAAATTCTAGAAAGAACATGGTAGAATTGGGAATCTTACCTAAATGTTCAGGGACCTAATTCAGTGTCTGAACCAGAGGCCATAATTGCTATCTTCACTTCTTTTGCTGAACTCTGAATTACACTGACTTTTCATTCATCCTGTTTTTTATCAAGCTACATTTTCAGACTGAGTTGCACTCGCCTAGGCCAGTGGGCCATTGGCTATGTGACTGGAGATGGGAACATACTGCAGACCATACCTCACAATAAGCCTCTGTTTCAAGCTTTGATTGATGGCAGCCGGGAAGGATTGTAAGTACCAATTCTTACAGCTACCATGGCTATGAAATCCTCATCTGCTTGTTCCCTATATGCTTATATGGGTAGTTAAAGATGTTTAAAACCGAGAAACTGCATATGGTGGTTAGCATTCTTTCAGAGTTTAAGGACCATTTATTTAATTCATTTAAAAAACGCTTGTTTCTAGTTAATTCCATTAACCAGGGTTACTGAAAGTTAACCAAAGTCATATCTTGTAGCAAATAAATTCCTTGAGAAATTAAAATGTGACAGCTGTTGCATTGATCCCTCCTTCCCCCCACAGCCCCCCAAGAGTCCCAAATGCACTTAAGCTTATTGAACAGTTACTACTTCCAGTTACTCATGTGTCCAAATGTGGACAATGATTTGAAAGCTATGTAATTGCTTTTTTATATATTGTGCAGCCAGAACATTTTCCACATTTTAATAGTTTACTGAAAAGATTTATAACTATTAGAGAATGTAAGTTTATAGGGAGACGTAGTACATTTTTGCTAGGTTGGCTGAAGTAACAGAAAAATATTTGGTGTCAGAATGTTTTCACTGGAATACGTTTTGGTATAGCCAATGTAAATATATATAATGTGAAAGAAAAAGGAAAGGCAATTGATCAATCCCCAAAAGAAAAAAAAAGATGGATAATTCTTTTGCAGTCTTGTAATTTTTCTCAGTCCTACACAGTCTAGTATTTTTTTTTTCAGGTGTGATGATTTCATACCTGTAATAAAAACACACTTATATTGGTAGTGTTTCTCTCTGACAAAAACTAAGCAAACAAAAGCTGGAGCTGAGAATATTTTATGCTGAGTGATATTTTTGTACCTTATAACTTTTTCAGAATGTGACTTAAAAATATATGACCTTCAAAGAACTGTTTCTGAGTTACAGGTAACATAAACCTGAATACAGAAATCTTAGGGTTGCTGTAATATCATTTAACCTATTGTTAATTTCCCACATAATTGAATTGAATGAACCCTCATTTAACCTATTGTTCATTTCCCACACAATTGAAATGCTCCCATTGGTTCTTGCCTAATGTCCAGTGTGCATCAGAAGTTCTCAGTGTAGATTCTTGTCATAATATACAGAGATATGCACAAATATATTATTGTGACATATATAATATTATATATATATATAACATAATACAGATACACACAGTGTGTTACCTTCTTTTCTGCAGCTTTACTTGAAATAGTCTAAAGAGTCCTGAGCATGATGCTCCCAGTGGGAAACCATTAGGAAGTATGAGTTCACTGTGAAACAAGGATCTGAAATAATACTCTTTTGGGCTACCCCTAGAAGGTTATCTGCTAATCAAAGCTCAGATGTATGCTAGTGGTAGCTATCCAAGTGATGTCAAAATCTTTCCTCTGCTTTTATAAATACACTTGAGCATGTGTCAAAATGAATATGTAGCAGTTCAGTTGCACTCAAAAGATAAAATAGATGGCTGAGGAAAGATGATTTATTTTAGTTAATGTCTACTGTAACTTATTCTGCCCCCTTGAAATTTTTTAAGTATGATTTAGCCAATAAAGCTAAAGAAATGTGCATATTTATAACAGTCTTCTTGTGATGCAGCTATCTGTTCCCTGATGGACGAAGTTATAATCCTGATTTGACAGGATTATGTGAGCCCACACCACATGATCACATAAAAGTCACACAGGTATGTTGACAGAGTTTTGAGTTACTTTGTAATCGTCACTTCCCTTAGTATCTCATCTACAGTAATAATAAGCTTTTATTAAAATATGAGTAATAAGTTCATAAGAGAGAAAATATGCTGTTGATAGAAGGGCTTTGGGGAGGAAAAAAGGATAATAATCCTTTAAACTGTAGAGTGGACGGTGATGCAGATGGCATGTCTTGAAATGTTTTCTTTATTGTGAGCCTTTTCCAAGTGAGAAGTGTTTCAAACAGCTACTAAAGATTTTTCCGATATTTATGTAACAGATTTATGTAGCTCGTTTTTTATGCGCTAATAACAAAGGGGAATACAGAAACAAAATAAGGATCATATGGTAGTTTTGAAGCCTGAATAGGAATGGTATAGTTGGTTGGCAAGTCCAGGAGGAAAAGTTCATACATCACAAAAATACCTGTTCCAGGGTATCCAGTTTTCTCCTTTCTTCTTTGTCTATGGTGCAAATTGAAAGAGAGATCAGGGAAAACAGCAGAAGTAAGTAAATGCCTAAACAGAGTCACTTTGCAGAGAATTGCAGAGAAAATTAGAATATATAGTTGTGTTTGTAGTCTTGTTAAGTGATGATGTGATTAATTCTGCAAATATTTGATAGTCAAGTAGTAGGAAATAACCACCCCAAGACAAATACTTGATTAAAAATGGTGCTGAAATTAACACTAGAAGGTTAAAGAATACTGTGTAGAACATTTTTCCTGATGAAAACATCTGGAAGACTTGAGGATATGTTCAAAGAAAGACTTGATACAAGTACCGCTGTTCCAGATGGTCTTCTGTTTCTTCAAATCAAACTGGATGACCTGCTGAATCTTCTGTATTTCTGGGTGCTCTATGTGCATTCCACTCCAGAAGTATTTTAGAAAATAAATATTCTTTACTATCTATGATATTATCAGAAATACCAGTACAAATATATCTGTTTTGTAAGTAAGAGAATTCCTAAAAACAGTTACCTGAAGACAACCTGAATACTTCCACTTCTCTGACATCCATCTTTTCCCTCCAGTCTTAAGATAATAATGAAAGAGTAATGGAGATTTATCAGGTATTTGTGTAGTGCAGAGTAATGCTTCAGCCCATATCTTCACTTTTTCTCAAAGAAATAAGAAGCAGCACATAGTCAATGAATACCTTGTTCTTCACAAACCAATCATGTTTTATTTTGAATCTACTGAATGAATCAAGTTATTTCTGCACATGTATTTATGAGGACATTATTAGCTAATTCTGATGATAATTCCAAAGAGTCTGAATTATGTGAGTCTGCCTTAAATAATATATAACTGAAGAGGTTTAAAGTTGTCAGTATACCTCCCTGAATAATGAAGAGATGGTATGAAAGTGGCTGCAGGGCTAGATTGCTGCAGATGGATTCCTTGCTAGAGCTCCACCATAAGCATCTTTAGTACACTGACTACAGCTGCAGATACAAGCTCTCTCTTTTGTTTTCTCTTTTTCTTAGCCTCATGTCCCCTCACTTCACTTAGCAGTAGCTGCTTATTTTCCCATGATCTGGATGGTACTTACTTTAGGCTTTCAAAATTTGGTTTTTCAAGGTTAAAAAAGCTTATTTCAATCCAAATGCATTTAACTGTCAGTTACCCAACAATAACTATTTCTAGAAAACTGTTCTGGACTTGAGCTTTGTCTATTATTTATTTCTTCTAATGGTGGTGTTCTACCTACCTGTCAGTCTTGTAAGTATGCAAAGTACTGAATAATCTGTGCATGACTGTTGCCAAGTTATCCTGCAGGGTGTTCTTGCCATACTTCCTTTACAGGGATTGTGTACTTTAATATACTGCTATACAACATCCTTGCTGTAGGTAAAAAAAGCCCTCTTGCTTGTCCATTTCCAATCCAATGATCTTCATACTCCTAAGTTCATATCTAGAAATTAAAATCCCAGTTTTGTTCCCTTTCTTCACTTAATGTTTCACTTAATATGTTCATTTCCTTCCTTTGGTTCCATTTGCAACCAAAGAAAAGTAGGATTTGTGCCTTGCATAGCAGTTACATATAACAAGTCTGTACGAAATCTAATAGGCACAGATATTTTTAACACATTTTGGTATGTATTGTAGTATATCACAGTTTGGAAGAAGCAAAAATGTAAGCTGTTTCAGTAACCTTAGTGTGGCTTTTAGACAGATCAGTAGCAAGAGCTTCCTTGATTAATAAGTAAAGCAGACTTGAAAACAGGGCATTTAGAGAAGTATATTCTTTGTGAACAAATCATTGGAAAGAAATAATTGTTTGACTTTCTTTTGTTACAGGAGCAGTATGAATTGTACTGTGAAATGGGTTCCACTTTTCAACTGTGTAAAATCTGTGCAGAGAATGACAAGGACGTGAAGATAGAGCCTTGTGGACACCTTATGTGCACTTCTTGTCTTACAGCCTGGCAGGTACTGTCATAGTTAAGTTGGTGGGGAGGGGATGGATTTCTGTTACCTTTGTGTTTACAATGTGGGTATATGTTTACTTTTCCAGGTGCAAGGATGTATATATTTAAAATTATAAATGTCCTCATTTTTCAAACCAGAACTCTGTGAAAAATAAAGCTCCAGGAGTCTTTGCAGTCTGGACTTATAGTCTTGCCAAGGCCATTTGCTGACTGCTGCTGAGTGAAAACTATTTCCTGAGTCCAGCACCTACTCAGACAGTAGAAGCTGGGTATTTGGTGCCAATTCAGTCTGGGAATGGATAACTGACTAGACAGCATTTTATAAGGAGAAGGGATGTCTTTGATGAGAGAAGGATCCACTCGGTAGTGGAGGTCATGAATTGACCTGTGGAAAATTAAGCTTTTAGGATGCCTGTGTTTCATATTAATAGCATGCAAAGCACTGGAACACCTAGATAACTTTAGATGGTTGTTGGACTAAGAGATTGAATGGAGGGGAAACTCCCTTCTCTCAAAGTCATTTATAGAACATCCAAAAAAACCTCTGAGATTTCCTGGTGACCCAGATTGGTGTGTTTTGTCCATCTTGTTCACGGATTCACCAGTTTTTGGGAAAAGGGAGAACGGGCACCCTTAGTTCAGGGTAGTTGACCTAAAAAGCGATGTCTAAAGCTGAGGTCATTCCTCTTTACAATGTGCATCATCCCTGCCCCTTTTTTCGTATCTATATTTTATGGGGAGAATAAGGTTCATCCACTTCTCAGAGAGGACTTTGTTCCACTCTTAATAATCAGTCTTTGCTTACAAATGTAGCGAGAAGAGTAAAAAGAATCCTTGAGTCTAGTCCATTTTGGACCAGTTTTTAAATTAGTTCATCCTCCATCAATGTGTTTTCACTCTTACATTTGTGGCATGTTTTCAAGTACTATAATTTTCCTTTTCTAATTAGGACATTTTCTACCTAATTAAGAAAGCCTCAGTGGTGAACCAACACAATATATCAGAAGTATAATTTGAGTTTTTCTTCCATTAGCAATAAAGGTTTCTTGAAAATGAAGTACTCTCAGTTTCCAATTTTGTGTTCTTTGTGAAATTTGAGTTTGATGTTCCAAACACAAATCTTTCAAATTGGCCATAGGTCAGAAATTCGTAGGAAATTCCATTTGAGGCATAACCACAAAAGGATATTTATTTCACTACTAAGCAGCTGCTGAGCTGGAACAATGTTTCTCATTTCAGGAGTACCCTTTCTCTATTCTTTCAAGTTTCATTCTGAATGACAGACTTAGAGGTCTGACCACATAAATCATTGACTTAAACTCTGAAAAATTCCAAGGTGTGTAGTTTTGTTTGCTTGTTTATTTGTTTTTTGGCTGAGCTGACAGGGCTAAGCAGAAGGACTGAAATCTTTGTGCTTCTGATTGTTGGGTGGTGTGATAGGAGCAGTCTTAGGCCAGTGATGTGCTCTGATTCTGGAGGCTTGAGAAGCTGAGGTCCCCAGCATTTGGCTGTGGAACAGGAATTCAGGAAGAAAATCACAAAGCATTTTAGGCTCAGAAGACTGACATGTTTGAATGCACCAGGTTTCATCAGAACATAGCTACCAGCTGTAATTGGTCAGGTACATTTCAGACTTCATTACAAATTTAACTTTTGTATAATTAGTGAGGCAATGAAGAGGTATTACACTGTAACAGCATCAGCTGTTGTGAGCTTCTGGTGGGTTGTTTAATTGGCAGCATAATGGCTCGTTAAGCATGCCTCAGGAGATGCAATACAGATGTTTTCACTGAGCAGAAAAAAACTGAGTAAGCAGCATCTGATCTGCATAGAATACTAAGGATGATTGAGCTGTTCACCTTTATGGGGCTCAGTCTCTCAAATAAGACTTGGTTTACTTGTTTCCTTTTTTGTATTACACAGCAGGAATAAAATGTCATTTTATACTACAGAAATCTATTGTCTGAAAAGTATATGTTTTCTAAAAGCATATGGGCATATAGGCTGTATTGTAAGGTTAATAATGTTCTAAATAACCTTTCTGAGGGCATGGACAGGTGTGTGTATTAATATAGACATCTCATGTATATAATCATACTGCTGAATATGAGTCTGATGATGTGTTTGGTTACAAAGGCTTTTCCGAAGAAAGGATGGAAACTGCTAGTGCAGAACACAGGTACAAGGAAGCCTTGAAAACTAAAAGCTCTGTGCCTCATTGATAAGGGGTTTTCTTTAAGAAAATGAAGCTCTAAGGAGTTGCATAGAGTGAGGGAGGACTTTTGTTCACTTGACTGTGGCTACTTGAGTAGGACTATATGAAGATGTTTTTTGAGGTACTGAAGTTGACTAGTTAGTGTACTTATGGTGCTGAAAGTAGAGTAGATGTGTCTTTCCATACAAAATGAAAATCCAGTACTAATCCTGCAAGTGACGTCAGGAGACAATAATTTATGCTTATATGACCTTGTGATACAGCTCATCCAAAAACTGTAAAATCATCTGTCAGTTTAGTAAGACTGGCAACTGTCAAGATAAAAATAATTCTAGAAAAAAGTTAATGTTGTTTTTGCATCTGAGAAATCAAAAACCAGTGCTTGCTTGGTTATATTTCAGTATAAGTAGTAAGTAGTTTTTTAGAATTAATTTTGGTGTTCATATTTCTTTAGCTGTCTGTGTACCTGACTGCAAATACTACACCATGTGATTTCTGATTTCACTTTGAATTATCTTGAACTTTCAAAGCTTCATGGTTCTTCTGGGTGTGGGTTTGTTTTTGGTTTTATTTGTTTGGTGGTGGGTTTTTATTTTTTTTTTTTTTATAATTCAAATCTATGTTGTGCTTCTTGATGGAAATATTTCTATAAGTCCTTGAAAGACCTCTCTAGTTTTTGTTCATTAGTAGTCTGAATCTCAAGCCTTTTTTTTTATTTCTTATGAGAAAAAATACAGTTCTGAAATAAGTTAAAGGGATTGAATATGGCTGCTTGAAAATTATTGAACACATACCACTTTAAAATTAAAATTCAAGTAGTTCTTTTTTTCTGGCAATATTGTGAATATAATTTCATATTTTATATAATTTATTGAAAATGTAGTTAAGTCCTGATTTTTTATGTAAATGTGAAGAAAACTGTTTGTAGCTTTAGGTGCTCTGAATACTGGCAATGCTGCAGCTGTGATGGACTGAATATGTTTTTTCCAAGAAGAGCTGCATGCCATAAAGCTTGCCTGCATTTTCTAATATCAAATGAAAAAGACATACTTTATGGTTAATATAAAAGGTATATAATAAAATGCATTATCTCTGTCTACACACCTCACCTTCTTTCTCTTGAAGAAATAGCAAAATGTATGCCTGAAAGGAAACATGTTACTTCCTGACCTGTAATATTAAGACTGATTTAGTGCTTTGTAGAGATAATAGCTACATTTTGATTAGTCATTTTTAAGTGAAGCTTAGTCTATTGAAGAGAGAAAGCTTTAAATGTGCAGTCATTTTAAGATTTACTATCGTTAAATATTTGTTAATCTGTTTCCTGTTTACTCCAGTCCTTCTTTACAAGCTTTTAAAGACTGGTTGAGGATGTTACTGTGTACAAGGTAGAAGTCCTACTTTTAAAATTATTGCTGGTTTTGTTTCTTTTTTTTTTTTTTTAATTTATCTACGTTTTTGTCTTATTGTAGGAATCAGATGGCCAAGGCTGCCCTTTCTGCCGCTGTGAAATCAAAGGGACTGAGCCAATCATTGTGGATCCTTTTGATCCCAGGGATGAGAATTCCAGGTGCTGCAGTATTATGGATAGCTTTAGTATGCCTATGTTGGACTTGGATGATGATGATGATAGAGAGGAGTCTCTAATGATGAATCGTTTGGCTTCAGTCCGAAAGGTAACTTCTCAAACTCTGCACAACAGCTAAACCCAGATGTTTGTAAACAAAGCTGCCTGTAACTTTAAACAGGGAGAGGTTGCACTTCATGCTTTAGCTCACAGCATCTCATTGAACAGTTGTTGGGTTGAAAAAACAAAATGTGTCAATACAAATGCATTAAAACTGAAGTTGAATTGGAGAGAGAAAATATTCCAGATTCTCGGCTGATGTGAACTAAGATCGTTTATAATGGGCAAAGTGTGAGTTTGCACCAGCTGAAACTCTCATCCAAACTATGCTGTATGGACAATTCCCTGAGCTTTTATTTGTAAAGAACAAAAAATTTCCTATATGCATTTGTTTTCTGCACGTGTGTACACATGCATAGAATGTTTTAGGATTAAAGTTGAGTTTCTAAACAATTTTCAATATTATTACTTTATAAAAGTGAACTCGACATCTAATTCATACTGCACACAAGTAGCTTTTAGTTAAGTTTCATGTGAGTTGTCTATGATTTTTTTTTCTGTAATTTTTAGTATTAGGTACTCTTACTGGGAAAAGTATTTTTGAGATTATCCGTAGTGACTGTGTGTTTTGGAATGTTTTTTGTCCTGAAAGGGCTCTGTGTTAAATTCTGAGATCTTTGTTGCAAGAGATTTTATTACAGATAAATAAGCACTATCATTGACAGAAGTTTATTTTATGGTGATAGTTTTTACTACTCTATTTTAGCCTGGAATAGATATTGTCAGAGGCTATGCAACACTGATTTTGATAGAGCATTTACTAGATTTTTCCTTATACTAAGGTCATCTAGATTGAATTGTTGTCTTGGAATTAATTTTGGAACATTTTACTTTTCCATTTCCTTATCATTGTGTTTGTTTAAAAAAAAAAAAGTGTTCTTTACCCTCATATCTGAGAATATCTGTCAGTTAATATACATGCTTCTGATATCCTTCCCAACCTCTTAAGGCTTATGAATCATTCTTGTGTTGTGTATGTAATACAACATGCTCTACCCTTGGGAACAGTTTATCCTTCCTGCCTGGACTTAAATTGCAGTCTGCAGCATGACCTCTGTGAGATAGCCTTGAATTGATGGGCTTTTATAACGCTATCACTTCCATGATAAGGCAAAAACGCATTATGCCTTTATCAAAAGAAGGAACAATAGGTTTACTATAAGACATCTTCTTTTAGGTATCCACCAAGTGCTTGAGTGCTTTTGGGCCTTGCTATTTTTCTTCATTGATTTCATTGTTCAATGAAAGAAATCTTCACTGTGCCACCCTCTTGAAGTCTATTTGAAATTGTTGAATTATTGTGTCATTTGGTGATTTTTAGCTGCTGTTTTCTTAAAATTGTTACCATTGATTTTGCAGTGATGGTCTTAACCATACCACCTGTGTGTAATATGGCATTGTTTATATATACTTTTTGTTAGCAATGTCTTCATTAGACTTGCCTATTTCTTTAACCATTCTTTATTTTTCCTGCTAATCAGTGTATCTTTGGAACCTGCTTAAAGAAATTATATTTTTCTCAGTGACATTATGTAGAACTTTACTCTTTGTGAAATTTTCTTTTGTTTGTCATCAACGCTGTTCATATGAACAGGATGCTGCATAATGATGGTATTGTAGTAACGAAGTTTTTTAAATTATGGAAATTAGGTGTCAAAGATAATGCTTTAGCTCTTGCAGCCAACCTGCTGGCACTGTTGTAGCTTTGTAGTCTCAGTGAACAAATTTTTCAATTCTTACTTTATTGCATGGACTGTGGTAAGATTTCTCAACATAAATCTGTTAATCCTTGAAAATCAAATGGGCTATATTTGTGTCAAATCACCTGGCTGACCATTCTAAGAAAAATCTGGCTAGTAGTGAGCTGGGCTGTGAAACTGATTAGAAGAGAAGAGTTTCAGGGACATGAAGCTCTGATGAAAGTGACTGTTGGGCTTCACAAAGCATTGTGGAAATACTCAATCAGATACCAGAAAAATACCATTTCTGCAGTTTATCACTCCTATCCCCGAACTGTACTCTAAAACTTCTAAGAGGTGTCTGAAGTCTCTGAAAGTTCTCAGACTTGAAACTGCTTTAAGAAAAAAAATAATCATGAAGCTCCTTAAAGGAATTCCTTAAAGGAATTAGTAAGTGGATACACATTAAGAAAAATGAATAGTTCTTGCTAGGTGTTGTGTATGAGTCAGCAGTAGCAGCAGATCAACAGAGGCTTTGGAGAAATCTACTGCAGTTAGGCTGTTTATCTGCCTCATCAATCAGCTTGTTTTTTTTATTTCCAAATTGTCTTCAGATATTTCTTAATGAAAGAAAGAGGAGGAGTGGTGCCAAAAGCCTCTGTTAATTGTTTCCTCACCGAGAAATTTCAGCCCTGTAGTATCAGATTAGCTAATGCAGTTATTGCCCAAAATGTTCCTCTTCTCAGCTTTTGTTCTAGTAAAGCACAACATTATGAAATGCACATTAATAAAAATGGAGATTACAGGCTCAGGTAAATATTGAAAATAGCTTTTTTTTATTTTTAATTTTTAAAGAGGGCATTTGAGTGTCTAGTAGGGCATGTTAGTTATTCTATAATGTTTAATGTTTAATTGTCCTAATAAATGAAGAGTTCTGTCACTTTTATTAGTACAAGGCATAATTTGATTTCTTTTAAAAACAAAGAAAGAAAATAAGGAAAATGGATAGTGCAGTAGTTCTTGCTAAGAGCAAATAATTTTGAATTCATAAGTGTTTAAGGTAATTTTTTGATCCAAATAATATCCCATGAAAACACAGAGGAGGGCTCTACCAGTATAGGAGACTATGAGGTTTTCAGTACCTTAAAATGAATTAACATTGTTTATAAACACTTCAGTCTAAAAGTAGATGAAGTTACCCCATCTGGGGTGTTACTGTCTTCTCTGAAAAGAATTTCCTAGATATCTGAATGTGCAAAACCCTGATTGTTTGACTGATTCACACAGTACTTTAAAATAATGATAGGAAATTGTCAAGGCTGAAAGACAGTTTGCCATGACTAGGCTTCTTCCAGCAGGTGAGTTAGGTCAAATTTGGTAAATTGTGACAAAAGACCTAGGCTCTCAATATATGGGAAGAGACTGTTTCCACTCATTTCCATATTATTAAGTCGACTTTTTTCTGGTAATGGAAGAAGGCGTGTATTACATAGTAATAAAGTTTTTAATTTCATTGTATAAAATATAAAAATATGTAAAATAAGTCTTGAAAAACTTATCCATATATTCCTTCAGCAGTACCTGGACTGATATATACATATCACTTCCTACATAATGGTCCATCTGTTTGGTGGAATTTTTTAAGATCATGTCACTCAACAGGAGTGACTTACTTAACTGATTACTTACTAGTATTTGCAGGGTATAAATTCTGGGAGGCAGTGTGCCTCCCCTAATTACGGATTCCCTTGGCAGTGTGCTGCTGACTCTCAGAGACCTCGCTGCCTCTCCCTCCTTCACATGCATTTTCTTGGGCCAACAAAGATGAAGGGAACAAATCTGTTGATTTAAAAACATGTTTACAGTCATCAGTGTTAAGTGATGTAAATTTATATCCTCATTTAAGGTTTTAAGCTAAGATAATACAGCTCTTCCTATGTCACAGCTTATCTTAACAAGAAATAACAAATATGTGAGTTACTCTCACCTGATTATAAATAAAGAAACTTCAGAGAACTACTTCTCTGGTGTAGGTCTGCTGGGATCCTCTTAGATGTCTCACGCAGTTTGAGTTTGCTCCAAAGACATTAACAGGCAGGGTAGTATTCCTCAATTAATCAATCGTTAGGATTTATGTTGAGAATGCTTTTCATATTCACCTATCTGGCATAAAGGTATTTGAAAACTCCTGATTGAATAGCTTGGCTGTTAATATCTCCATCAGAAAAAAAAATTGACTGGAAATTGTAATCAGTGTTGGAAGCAGGCTTTTTCTTGAATTCACAACTGCTAGGGGCAAACTGATACCAGTGTATCCCAGTACCAAATACGTCTGATGGAAAAACACAAGTGTGGTCCCTACTGCAGTACAACTGCAAAGTAAGTCACAGCTGCTTTTCCCTTGGCAGCAGTCACGCCAACCAGATGAAGTCCATGTTGTTACAAAGGAGTCTGTGTTCTTCTCCTTAATTACATCTTTATTGCACAGGTCTCTGTGTGGTGCAGCAGAGCCCCTCTGTACACTGAAGGTCTGTCTTCTGTCACTGCCAGTTCATTTGAGCTAGTTTGTGTCTTAATCACTTGCTTGTTTTAGCTTTTTGTCACTGCTCTCTCTCATTGCAGATTTTTTCCCAGCATATAGATAACATACAAAAACCTCCAGTAGGTGACAAACAGGAATTTTAGGAGAGTAGAGTGCCAAAAAGAGCAGATATTAGTGTGTCTGTTAATGCTTTGGTATCCATGTGAGATGCAGCCATCTTGTTGGCCTAGCTGTCACTCATCAAATGATGCAGCTGGACAGGTTGGATGGGGGTTGACTGAAAAATACGGGATTTTAATATTGGGAATATGATGGAAATCTGATACTGAATGCCAAGGAAAACCTGTTTGCTGATGTGGAATATTTGGTTTTGTTTTATTTTTAGTATCAGTGGATCCAACAAAGAATTATTTGTCCCAGCAAAACTTTTGCTCTTACTTCAGCATCAAGTGGTGATACAGATTAAGCTTCATTGTAGGGGGAAAAAAAGCTGCTTTTGCTTGCAGCTATTTAACTTTTTTTTTAATTGTGCCTGATAAGTTACTCTTTAACTTGTTGGCCGTAATCAATTCCCTTTTTGAAATCTGTGGGGGTCACAGCATGTTCTGTTGGCATTGTGGCTGTACTATAGTGTAGTAGTCCAGGGGACCAAAAAATAACTTAGCTATTTTGAAATAAGACATAAGGCATGGATATAATCCTAAATTCAAGTCCTCTCACACACTTACTACTTCGAAAATTTTCCATGTAGTTTTGTTAGTTGTGGTTTACTGTCTGTGGAATGTCATAGAGATAGCCAAATACCAAGCTAATATATGGAACTAGAAGTTTATCACATGAATTAAATTGCTTGCTTCATTGGGTTTAAAAGCATGTCAGGGTTTAAGTATCTTGAACTTTTAAATTAATGAGTTTTAAATGTGAATATTCTATGATTTTTGTCTCTGCAAAAGCTAGACTGTTGTTGCAGCAGGAGAAAAGAAGTCTGACATGGATGGAACCAGTGAGCACACTGAGGGAAGAGGGCATCATTTAGCCGAGTGATTTTTTTAGAGCAGAACTGTGTAAGAGAAGTTTGCCAGATAGAAACAGGGATGTTCTTAAAATGATATCACAACAGTGCTGTTCACTTAGCTGGGATTTGTACAATTCCAGGCAGTCTCCTATTTGAGACTCTCAGGTTGCTCTCTCAGGAAATTGTGTTAATTAGTTTGATGATGCGACAATTAGAACATCCTAAATTCCGAACAAATGTTTCCTGTCCAATAATTGGTTTTTAGTATTTCCTATATTTCTTGCTCTTTGTTTCCTACTCCTATCACATATATGATTGCTGTTCTGGAACAATTCCCTGCTGGCTGAAATGCATTATGTTGTGCAATACCATAAAATGCTGAGACTTAACTATATCACTTTCATTTATTTTAAATAATTGAATCTTTTTGGAGGCGTGACCTGCTTATTTGGTTCTATTTCAGATAATTTGGGAAGCAAATTCATTTTGTGTCTGCTGAAGTCAATCCTTTGAGTATATTGTATTGCACAGTTCTTGGCTTTCAGGAATGCTTTATGGAGTTGTAACTAAACTTTGAAAACTAATGCTATAAAATGATACAATGTTTATTATGCTGTTTAACTGATAGATGCCTTCTGATAAGGAAAATGAATTGACATTCGGTTTATAGTAATTCTATAATTACAGTTGCTCAGGCATGCTTACAAGATACATATCTTGCTTAGTTATTCAACATTCCCTAATGTTGAGAGGCTAAATGCTTTGGTAATTTATGTGCTTATCTTTATGGTCTTCCAGTCAAGGACAGGGTCATTCACCAGTTAAAGGAAACAAAGAAAATTTAAAGACTATTCAAAGCATTTAATATGAATATTGAGACAACCTCTTCATTGAAGGGAGAAACTGAGAAACTTCTGGTAGCCATGAAGACCACAAATCTTAAACTGCTCTGTCTCTTGAATTTGAATGTTTAGTTGTGACATTGAGCTTGCACATGTCAATGAAGTGGGGAAGACTCTAAATAGCAACAAAAAAATCATCCTGATGATGGAGTTGCACATCACCCTTCTAGCTTTCAACATCTTCTCACTCCCCTCCTGCTTTTTTGTGCACTGTTGACAGTAATACTGTGGTGGCTTCTATTTTTGAAGGAAATGTGGTAGCAATCCCTGTTGTATAGAATGGGATATTAAACTAAGCTGTAGTACAGAGCATTGATAAGGATCCGTGCTCTAGATCCTTTTCCTCACTCTGCTTTTGAATTTATGAAGTTTCCAGTTTCTTAACATAATGATTGTGTGCAAAGAAAGGTAGTGTTGCTTATTTGTTTTCTGTTAAAGAACTTTCTACTCTCCTCCCAGTTATCGCGGTGGGATGTTTAGCATTCATGAGAAAAAGCTCATGAAGAGAGGGGGAAGTTTATCCAAGGGGTTTAGGCCAAAGACGGGTGGTTTTTTTGCCTCTGTAGGCAAGCTGTGATATGAGAACAGTGGGATGCCTCAGTGTACTAGTGGCCCAAAGCTGATCATTGGTGGGAATGTCCTCCAGCTACTTGTGTCTACTCTTGGGGAAAGCACAGAACAGCACAGACATTCAGGTTTATTACAGTGCACTGATACTCATACAGTGAGTTCATAGAAATAACTTGAACAAACACCTGAGCTGTGTTTGTTAGAACTGAGCCAGATGAGGGGTAGGGATGAGTTGCAAAATTGGGTGGAGTCCTATATTGAGAGTTGAAATCAAGTTCTGAGAATTTGAAAGGACAGGTCAAGGAAAAAAGAAATCATAATTTGTCCCTGGAGAGGGAAGTTAAATGTTTGTGTTGTTAGTTCAGTATTTGCTTAAATGATTAAATTGTTCTAAAATTAATTTTATAATCCCTTCATTTTTTTCTTGATTTTGCTTCTTTCCTTAATATCTTGCTGGTGACTTTGATTGGTAAATTTTCAGAAGACATACATTCTGTTTTGTATGGAAGTATGATTTGAAAATGGGCAGTAGGCAGTAACAGGCAATATCATGGATGTCCAGCATTTCAAAGTAATTTGTAGAACTTTAGATTGAGTACTCTCTATTGATAAAAAAGTCAACAAGGGTAGCAGTGCTATGATAGAATTTATGATTTTTTTTCCCTTGTGTTTGGCAGTGATCGTTAGGTTTTTATACAAATTACTGGAATATATATTCTTTTATTTTCATCACAAGTTAACACGAGTCTTAATTTTGAGACAGAATGACTTGTAGACTTCTTTTTCAGTAACTATAAGATGAGCTCTACTGTCCAGATGTCCATTATGAAAAATGACTATTATAATTGACTCTTAGTAAGTATCTGATAAGTATCAAGTGTTTTAGTTGGGGAATGGAAGTTGTATACTTGATCATCAGGTAAAAGATAATTTTATTTTTTTCTCTCCGGAAGTGCAATGACAGGCAGAATTCACCAGTGACTTCCCCAGGATCTTCCCCTCTTGCACAAAGAAGAAAACCACTTCCAGACCCCCTGCAAATCCCTCATCTTAGTCTTCCTCCTGTCCCTCCCCGTCTGGATCTGATTCAGAAGGGAGTAGCACGGTCACCGTGTGCCAGCCCAACTGGGTCACCAAAAGTAAGTGTTACTGAGCCATTATTTCTGGATATAAGAATTCCGAGAAATTGCATTTGCTTTTTTTTCCAAGGTGAGCTTCTTGGTTTTTTTTGTAAAGTGGACTGTTTCAAACCTTTCCATGGATATTGCTTTTTCAGGATTTTGCTCTGCCCAAAATAACTTTAATTCCTTCTAGTTTAAACAAATTTTAGATTAGACCCATATTAATGAAGTCTCTTCTTTTTCCGTAGTACCTTATGTAGTTAAATATTTCTGGCTGCATGTATTGGTCAAAAATGACTTCAATTTGTCTGATGATTATATTTTACTTGGTTATGGTCAGAATTTGAAAGATGTTGCAGTAATGGATCAGTTCTGTAACAAACTCTGATTAATGAAAATAAATAGAAGCTAAAGTTTCCTGAAAATAGATTTAAAGGTCATTATCTCATTAAAATTATACGTTTTCCTTTCATGATGATTTATGTTCAATTTCCACAGTGTCCTTACAAGAAAAATATGTGCAGATACACTGCTTTCAAAACCTTAAATGGCATATAATAGGACTCAAATTTCAAGGGAAATAATAATGGCTCTATAGCCAATAAGCTTGTATGCCATGTTTTGTAAAACTAGCGATACTAAAGATTCAATAATTTTTTGAATAGATAAGCATGAACAAGAACAAATACTGTTTGCTACTCTCTGTAACAAGTTGATTGTCTTATTATAATTGCTGTATAGAGAGAGTGAATTAGATTAAAATTTTTCATTTTTATATGATTAATTCAAATTCAAGTTCAGGACATGACTTGAAACATATGTACTCATAATAATCCAGTTTGAAGTAGCTTGCTTTTTTTGTCAGGTTTTTACTTTAAGGTTGAAAATCAATATATTTTTAATATTTTTGTGGCTTACAATTTAGAAGAAAAAATAGAAGTTTGAATAGTTTCTTTAATCTTCTCTCTTAACTTCTTATATTATGCAAAGGAATTATAACACATTGAGGACATACACCAAACATATCCCACATCCATTAAAAACTAGTTCTGTAATAGGGGTTTTTTGCAGGGTTCTTGGCTTAAAAAAGAAATAAAACCAGGAATAGCATTCATGCTGCTTTGAAATTTGAAAATGCTTTGAAATTTGAAAAAGCATTTTCAATGCTTTTTCAAATTTCAACGTGAAACTTTTCCTGGAAAAAAATTGTGGGGTGCAAGGAAAACAGGATGGGGGCAACAAAGAATAATCTCATACATTAAAAGATTTTATATTTAAGAGAAAAAAGATCATTTAGCTCTGCCAAAACTACTCCTTCAGGAAAAAAACACCCACAACTTTTCTATTTTGTTCAAGTTAAAAACTATAATTTTTAACTATAAGGTATAACAAAAAATCTAGATCAGGGCAATTTTTTCCTGTGTTAACAGTGAAAATAACTATTTTACTTGACTAGCAAGTGAGTTAAACTGTTCTTTATTTAGTTTACTTCCTTTTAATATACATAAGCCTGTAGGTAGAATAACTTTATTTTCAATTCAAGTCACGTGTTGAGGGATTGCTTGAAGAATAGTGCTGGGCTAGCCAATGAAGTGATAGCAAATGCTGTTCTTACTAAAAAGTTCAGTGACCTCCATTTCTTTAAGTGGTAATAATATGCAGGCTTACCAAAATTATACATTCCCAGGAAAATAATCTTCCTGTATTTCTTATGGTAGCTGTAGATAAAACATTTGTAAAGACCTGGCCCAACTATTACTTTGTAAATTGCCATTTGTAATTCAGTCATATTGAGAATGTTTTGGTTTTGTCAGATTTGTGCTCGGATTTGTGCAGCTATGAGGTTTTTTTCCTGATAACCTGAGTTTCAGCTTTTTAGTATTAGCGTACATAATTTTAGACCACATTTAACCATTTATGATATAATTCAATTCTTAGAAACCAAGTATTCTGACAAATGTTGCTTGCAGATAAGCTAATTGCAAGTAAAACTACTAACTAATTAAGCTGCTACCTGAAAAACTGAACTGCAATTCAAACAGATTCAGCACTCAGACACAGTGCATATCATGTAAAGATTGGAGTCATCCCTAGGTATATAAATAAAAATGAAATAATTCTTTCTTCTTCCCCTTGCTCTCTAATCATTGCTTTTTGTGCTCATTTGCTGTCAGCGAGTTATTCCTCTGGGAATAACTTTTATTTTGTTTGGGGTTTTGGGTTTCTCTTCCACATCAGGAAGCCTGTTTTGCCCAAACACTCCACAGAATTCATTTCAGAAGATGAGTAAGTGATTCACATGATCAAAGCAAAGGATACTGGAAAAAACTATGGGTCAAATAAATCTGCCTGAGTTAGCTTTCCAGTCCTTGCTTGGGTTACTCATGCAACATCAGAAATGGGGGCACGCTCTCTGAAGGACCAGGTTGGCTGCAGAATGCTGGCAAGGCCTGCATTTAACCTCCTGCCAAGTACTGCTGTGAGGCCAAGAAATTATCTCAGAAATTATGAATCCACACTTTGTCACTGAATCAAACACGGGCAGGTGACCTTTCTCCTTTTTAAAGCCTTTTTTAAAAGTCATCAGTTCAGGTGGGGAGAACCGATGGGTCTGCAGTGACACCACCACTGCTCCCAGGAGTGACTCAGAGGAGGAGAAAGAGTACAGCTTTGTTCACTGGTCTGTGGGCAGAGCTGGGGGTTCTGTCCTCAAAATGAACCGAGACATTACCTACTTTTTAGGTCAACATTCGAGCTCCTCTGTCTAGCTGACATACTTAGGTTGGGGTGAGTGGTAAAAAGGGTCTTAGTGGATACTAGATTCTGTTCCTCACATCTAGACATCACTTTGATTCGTCAATTTTGTGTTGGTTCCTTGTTTTTAGGGGGTTTTTTGTTAGGTTTGGTGCAGGGTTTCTCCCATTGCATGCTGGTTCCGATGTCATTTGCATGCTAACTCCAAGGTCTCCTCCTCTTCACCGTCTGGGTGCCATTCTCCGGGAAGCAGCGGGGCGACGTCCGGGCTAAGGGGGAATTCTTAACCATGAAGGACAGGTAGTTAACAAAAACCACAGGTGATTACAATAACAAGCAGTTAGAACTCCACACTGGCAGCAACTGGCCCAACCTGTGAACTCTGCAGCCTTTTAAAAAAATGGACAGCTGTTCTACTCATAACAGTCACGAGCAACATTCATGCCTCCGCGTAACTTTCCTTTTTTTGTAACTTCCTGTGTCTTTCAGTCTTCTCCCTGCATGGTGAGGAAGCAGGACAAGCCTTTGCCAGCGCCGCCACCTCCCCTGCGAGACCCTCCTCCGCCGCCGCCGGAGCGGCCTCCGCCGCTGCTGCCGGAGAGCCGGGCCGCCCGGCACCTGCACCAGGCCGAGGGCCTGCCCGCCAGGGAGCAGCCCGTGCCCCTCGAGGGCTGGTGCCCCAGGGATGTGTTTGGCACCAGCCAGCTGGCGGGCTGCCGAGGCGGGGGCGACGCCTCCCCCAAGGCAGGCCTGACCGCCATCGCAAACGTGAACGGGAGGCACGGCCGCGTCAGCTCGGAGCAGGGATTCATCAGGAAGCACAGGCGTCACGAGCTGCCCGCAGAAAGCGCCAAGGTATTTCCAGTGAATCCTAAATTCACACCCTGCCGCAGCATTGTCTTGCACTGGCAAACACACTGTTTATATTGGCCAGTGCTGGTTTGTGGTTTCTGAATCTTTTCTGTTGATGCTTAAGAATAAGCTGCTCATAAATTATTTGTTAAGTGCTGTAGTTTATAAAGCAACAGTACATGAGGGTCTGAGTTACAATTTTCACATAAAACTGTCAAAAAATATCTTTGAGAGAATATTCTAGATTTGCTATATTCTTCTAGCAAATTTTCGTTATAACAATGTATCCCTGTATGCTGTAATAATACAGCATCTCAAGTCCACTTTGGAACTGTCATATGCCAAAACTGTGTGTGCATTTTCTGATGGAATAGTAGATGATCCACTTATCTCTGTTGTAGATGAGGTGAATTCTGGCATTTAGCAGCTTCAGGCCATGAAGCTGCTAAATGCAAAGCCATTTACAGCTGGTCAGACTTAGCTTTGAAAAGAGATCAAATGGTGATGTCCTAAGAAAAAATTCCTAGTTCAGCTCTAATCATTTTTATCAAAGCAGCTCAGTAATTTATTCTTGGAGATTATTAACTCAAAGCTCCTCTTTTTGTTTTTTTGAAGACTATACAGCTTGTGCAAGACTACATAGCTCTTGCTTAGACTGATGGATTTGTGGTTAAGCCATGGTAGTTAGAAATCTTTTTTTTTGCATCTATTTTCTTTTTCCAAGACCACAAGCTATTTAACCTTTCTATCTCCAGTTAATTTTTTTTTCTGGTATGTGCATGTATATGGCAAGTATCTTTCCATATATATATATATATAGATGGAGGTTTTGGTTATTTTGAAAGTACATTTCTGAAATTGAACTACTATAAATAAGAGGGGTTGACATATGTGATGAAAGGTACTCAAGTCATCTATGATGTTACTTATAATTAAATTATTATTATATAGTGCTTTTCTCAGCATTGAGACAAAGCACCAAAATTTTACTTAGAACTAGGCTGTTGTTTAAATGCTGCAGGTTTTCTGTCGATTTTAAAAGGATACTGGATTTTTATCTTCAACTGTACCTTCATGTAGCATTCTTGTTGTGGTCTAGCACAATACTGAAGCTGATGGAATGAATACTTCTCAAATTAGAATACCAAGTCAGTGTGGAAGTGTAGTCTGGAGGAGATACATATGTAGATCTTTAACCAAGTACTGCTTGAATTGTCATCTTCAGGTTGTAGATCTGAACCGTTCAATTAGAGGAAGCGACCCTGAATTACCATCTCAGGCTATATTTACATTCATGAGGGAAACATGGAATGAATTTTCTTCCCTGATTCATATATCAATTGTAATATAAACGTTTTGCTATTGGTAGAAGCCAAGAATTGGAAAGACAATCCTGTGGGTAGAGGATGGATTCTGGCAGGCGCTGTATCACCGTTTTAATAATTAATATGTTCAGCATAATGTGCCCGTTGCTTTGCCATTACACTTCATCTCTCTCACTTTGCAATCTTGAAATCTTAATTTTCCCCCAAGCAGTTCAGCTGTAACTGAGTGTCTGTCTAGTAACTGTCGCATGAAACTTCTTTTGGTGAGGTTTTAAACTAATATGTTCTATAGCTCCAAAATGGGGTGAAACAGGCCTCAGAGTCACTTCAGAGACAGCTCTGTGGTGTGAACTCCTGGGAAAGCCTTTACCCACAGGCTTCTCAAGGTCTATTGTATAATACCTAGTTGATGAATATCCATGGTGATAGGAGGAGATACTCATTGTAATATTTGTGTGACTTTTAGGTTTTTTCAAATGGTCATCTGATAAATGAAGAATATGATGTCCCTCCACGGCTTTCACCCCCTCTTCCAGCTGGCTCTGTCATCCCTAGTATAAAGTAAGTTAACTTCATCTATAAAAGAAAAGTGCTAGCTAATGTTAGGTAATAGCACTGACTCTCTGGTGTTAAAAGAAAAAATGGGGAAAAGAAAGAAACTAATACAACTTCATATGCATTCCATGAATTTTAATGTGCTTTGACAAAGGAAGCATAAATGGTATTGATTAAGTGGGAACAGTCCTAATGTTAATTGGGCACAGCATGTTTTTATAGGGAGAGAGGGTAAATTGTGGCAGATCTTGCTCTCAGGAATTTGGCACTGAGAGCAGATACTGTCTAGTTTGGCTTCTATTACTACAGGAGAAGTGTGGTCAGAGCTATTTATCACAGGAGATGACAGATTCTAGGGAAAGTGCTAGGGCTAAAAAATGTGTTCTGTCACTGTTCTGCTCCTAATCTAGTCAGGCTTTCTGGGCTTTCAGTACATGGAGCTTTATCCAAGGTTCACACTATCATCTCCTATTTGTTGTGGCTAAAAAACAAGCAACCAAAACCAAACCATTTTATATAATTTTAAATATGATCAACGTTTCTGAGTTCCAGAACATGGGAAGATTTGTCATTCCAACTGCAGACTACTATTAGTCTTCCAGTAAAATGACTGTTCATTTTTTAGATAAAGATGTTGCCGTCATAACAAGTATCTTCAGACTCTGAATGACACAGGATTTTGTACAGAACAAGATATATTTAAAGCTGAAAGCTTGGAAGTCTTGTAATGTGGTCTGTCCTTATTTTGTGTTTTCATAAGGAAATTGGATCATATCACAATAATGCTATTCTACTTCTTTCCAATGTTCTGCTTGTGATTCTTGCTGTTAAATAATATAATTGAACAGTCAGTTCATATTAGTCCTGAGAACTTTCTTATTCCATTTTTGTGTTCAGTTCGCTTTAATACAGAAGACAAATACATTTCAGCATTTTATTAATATGCTGGGTTTTTTCTCACCAAGCGCTACAATAAAGGTGCAGTGGAGCATTGACTTTTTTATTTAGAAGCCTATTTTCAGGTGGAGCAATTGCTGAGGTTCTCCGTGCCTGTTTTCAGTTCAGAAGAAAATTTTAGCCTGTTATCCAGACATACCTGTAATTAAAAGTTGGGATGTAACCTGATTGAGGTAGGGTCTCAGAGGAGTACCAGGTGGATGCCTCATGTAATCAGTTGCCTTCTAGTCTGCTTATTTCGTTACACAATGAAAATCTGAAGAGGGAAATATTCTTATTTCTGTGTGTCATGGCATGGAAAAGCATCCTACTTCATGAGAATCCCATTTTTTCACTCAGATACTTGCAGATGTAGCTGAGAACCAAAGTACAGTGTACACACAGAGCATTGGAAAGTCCACACAATATTGTCACAATATGTACAGCCACAAAATCCATGTCAGGCCAATCCAAAGCTAGAATGTGTGACTTCTGCTTGGTCAAAAGAAATTCTTTTATTAACCAAAGATTTCTGAATACAAAACTGATGAATTCCAGGAAGAAGAAAAAAAATCTTCATTTGTTAAAACCAAACTCCATTGATTTTTGAGGAAAAAATTAACTTTTGTTTCTGTTTTGTCCTTACGCATTTTAAAAATTGCATGGGCAGTTTTAGATTTTGATTTTTTTTAAAGCATAAAATTATCGAGACACAACATTAGGAGTAAGAAGTTCAAATTATCTAATTACTAAAATACCACATGGAATGGCTGTTAAAAATTGGTCATAAAGTTCTTTCTTTAAACACTAATATATCTATTTTCAATTTATTTAAAATTAAGTTTTTGTCACCACTCGGAAATATGCCGGTAATCTATAATATTGTGTGACAGTATGTAGATGGAAAAACTGGGGAGGAGGGGGAAAAAATCTTTAAAAACAGCAATTTCCACCAACCACAATTGCTTTCAAAAATGTAACTGAAATAATATCTAGCATGATTTATTTGGAAACGTCAGAGAGAATATTTTTACAGTCTATTTTTCCTCCTGTTGAAGTGACTGCACTCAGCACTCATAAATGTTGAACTGTACTTGATTCAAAATTCTCTGCTTTTCACAACTGTGCTACTCCAATTAATCTGAGCAAGTTGCTCATTTTTTTCATGCTCTCCAATCTGTGCAGTGTGGTGGATTGAGAGCTGGTTTGCTTCATATAGCTCCAAGGCATTCTGTTCTTTCTACTTGTTATTATCCGTCTGTAATTCCAAACATTTGACTGAAGGATACATTGATAATGTATGAAATGTCTTATTCTAAATAACAAGGAGGCAAAATTACTCTTATTTGAAATTTCACAATTCTATAATGTCCCTACTTTAATTGTTTAATCAGCTTTTACTGAATATAATGTTACAAATATGACCTTTTTTTTCTTAAAAAGCTACCTTAATAGAAAAGCACTGGAGGTTTTTGTTGGGGTTTTTTATTTTTCCTGGAAACAGTGCTAATTTTTTTTGTTTTACTAAAGTAGTTATTATAAACTGTGCCTCAGTAATGAAATATTGGACTCTTGCTAACTGAACATCTGATTTTAATTTTCCACTCAGCCCCTATGTTTTTGACTAAACATGTGAAAATAGTTATTTTTGATTGGACTTCTGTAATTATGTCAGACTTTTTTAGCAGTTTTGATCAAGTTGCTATTTTATTCCTGAAACGACATCTATAACTCTTATGTCAAAGATACAGAGTGATTCTTCCCCAAAACTTCAAAATTTTCAAGTAGTGTTTGTTTCATTCCAGTGAGTAGCTCCCATTTTGCTACATCAGTAGCAGACTCTGTCTCCAAAGTACCATAAACCACAGTGATATTTTGCGTGAGGAAGCATCCATTTTTTGAGTATGTAATGATGCATCCAATTCCAAGCCCCTTTTGTAGTCTGTGAATATATTAGGAATATTTAGTTGCCTTGAGGTAGTTGAGGGAAAAGTAGCACCGAAAGGTGTTTCTCCTCTTGCTGTCTGTCCCATCTTGCTAACAAAATTTTGAAGGTGAAGTCATAGTCCCATTAAGGCCGAGTGTGGCTTGGAATTCATGTCTCCCTTGAGATCAGCCTTTGGCATGGCGCTTCCCAGTGACAGAAGGAGCAGGGCTTAGGGGCACGTTCCAGACATGTGAGAGGACACGACGTGTCCTTACTCACAGCTTGACAGGCCAGTGAAAGCACGATTGTCCTCTGCATCACTAAGCCCTGCTAAACACCTTTTGTCCTGAATTAACTTTTATTCAGTGCTTTTGATAAGTGCAAACAGGCTGACTCTTGTGACTGCCTATTTGGTACTCTAATTCTTTGCAATACTCTGCTATGTTGTGCTTGCTTCACGTAGTTGTTTAACTCTTAGAAGGGCAGCTGTCCTTTGCTCTATGCATTCTCAGTGGCAAAAAGTCGGTATCCTTGCAAGTATGTTTGTCATGGTGCTCTTGTTGCCTTATATGTAGTAGACGTATTAAGGATGTTTGGGCTAAAGAAAAGTATTTTCAGTATTATCTGAAGTATTATCAAGTATTATTCAGTATTATCAAGTACCTAACAGCTGAAGATAAACCATTATTTTTCTAATCTCCTTAGGTGCCCTGGTCCTTCAGCAAATTCTCTGTCTGATAAATCAAGGGAACACCCAGATGATGATGAATACAAAATTCCTTCTTCACATCCTGTAATACTGAGCTCACAACCACCTCATGGTCATAATATAAAACCTCTTGCTCGGTAAGGTGATTTAGCAGCCTTGAAAAAAAATTATTTACAAAAACTCTGCTTTTTCCAAAATTAACTGGATTCTGTAATGATGGTTAAGACTGCTTTCCTCCTAAGCTGGGATTACCCATGCTTCTGTTTCATTTGGCCACTGCCACAGATACAAACCTATGAAATTCACATCATTGAATCTCTCTTGTGTCAGAACTGGGTATTTTTTGCCTTTGGATACCATTTCTGCAGTTGGGGTCCTTTTTTTCCCCCTTACATTGAGGTTTTCAAAACTGACCAGGAGATACAAGCCCTAAAACTCTTTCCAATTTAATTTTAAGGAGAATTGTGTGACTGAAATTTCCAGTCAGCTTTGAAATTCTTAGCCTTTCACATTTTATAGAATTCAATTTTAAAGTAATGCAGTACTGAAAAGTATGTGAACTGGCAGCTGTATGTACATACTTTGATTCTTTTTTTTTCCCAATGTATAATGTGTCTTTTTAGCTTTTTGAGCCCATTTGGCAGTATATTTTTTTTATGCTTCTCAGAAATAGAACCTTTTTAAATACAGGTGGAGTATGTCTCCTTAGCTTTAAATATATTCTGAAACAATCCCTCCAAACTTTCACCGTTCAGAATTACTAATGGATTATGACATGGAAACTTGGAGCAAGGGATGTGGCAGCTGAAGGCTGTGACATTCCTGCTGAACTTTGCTCCTTAAAAAGATATGAATGGCTGGAATTAAAACAATAAGTCTGGAGTCACTGGGGGGGAAAAGGGCAAATGTTTTACTGGTCTTGTAGGTCACAAGTATGGTATTAAAATCAAGTATTGGTCTAAAATATTTAGACCTTCCTGTGATTAAAAAATTCTGTGACATATTGCCATTTTTTCCCCGCTCACTGTCAGAATATGTTGAGGACCCACTATGAATAAAGCTCAACATGTCCCTCACCTCAAAATTAGCCAATAATGATTTTTAGACCTTTTAAGTCATAACTTAAAGCAGCTGGAGAAAAGCTTATAATATGATCATTCTTTGCATGCAGGTTAAATATTCTCTATTAGAAATCCTGATCCAGGCTTCACTGCATAGACACGAATATTATGCAGTTGCCAAAGCCTAATGAACTTCAGGACTTAAAGTCTCTGTATGAGACTTAAAACAAACACACAAAAAAACCAATTATAAATAAAACTATGTTGGCTGAGCAAAAAAATGGGAAACAAGAAGAAAAATTCCAAGCAAGAAGAAAAAAATTCCATTTTTTCCTATGCCATTTTAATGGGATCATGTTGTGCTTTTGTGTGAGAATGATGCAAATAGATTCAAACTGAAAGGTTCTTGAGAAAATAAGCAGCTGGAGGAGTGGAATCTTACAATTTTTATTTTACAGAAAAAAATAATTGAGTGCCTTCTGTTGGCTGGTACAGAATTTTACCAGACCCTTGGAATTATTAATTGAGGATATAGATAGAAAGATCATTTCCAGGTTTTCTCCAATTTTACTATGTGTGTGGTGGGGTTTTTTACATGAATTAAGGACTTGCCACAGATAAAATGCCTTGGTTTGCTATTCAAGTTGCTCCATGATTAAAACCACCAACTCCTCTTATTATACATTCTGATAAAAAATTTAACTTAAACCATTCTCTTAGGCATTAAAGAAATAGTCTGGTGTTCCACATGCTTAAAATGTCTTCTTTTAGCTAATGTCACTGCTTAGATGTGAGAGCTGAGATAAAGTTTTCAAGAAGAAATCTGTTTCCTGGTTGATGTTGTGTTCTTTTAATGCGTTTCATTAAGTAACATGGGAAGGATGTTTTGTTTCAATGAAACTTAGCTTCTCTTTATTGTTCATCAAAGCTGTTACCAACTTTTTTTTTAATGTTATAAATTTTTAGTACATTTCATTTTTTTCCCCTAGTGTCACTTTCTCATATCTCTTTCCAACTTAACTTCTTGGATAGTACTCGGAGTCTTCAGTAAGCTAAAGAGCTTAAAAATTTTGTCAGAATGTTTTGTAGATTAGAATTATGTAACTGTTCCATCCTACTCCCAAACTGGTGTTACCTTTTCTCTCTTTTACCTGTAGATATGACAGTGCTAAAAATATTTCAAGAATAATACAAAAAATGATTCACAGTCTTACTCTCTGGCAGATCATTGAATTGTCTGGTTTGTTACTGCTGAACGTCAGTTCAGGAATAAGAAATAAAAACAAAGAATTTCAGCATTACTAATTAGGCTATTATTAGAAGAATGTTACATTATTCTGTCTTTTCTTAAGAAAGTCTTTTTTCCAAAAAGGGAAAGGACAGAATGCTTGCTTATTAGTACTCATTTGATATCCTTTTTTCTGGTGTTTTCAGTTAATGTAAGCAGGCATTTCAGCATTGTTTGTAAACTGATCACTTGGTTGGGCTCATGGTAGACTGATTACTTCTGAAGTGGTGCCATGTTAAGTTACCTTGCTGCCTGTGGCTAGTTACATTATTGAAAATGCATAATTCATTAAAACTAGAGTAGAAGATATTCTTAATTACTTAGTGTATATTGCAAGGAGTCAAAGGAAGTGTTGCATCTACTGCATTTGAAAGATTGAACCAATCTAATGTCAAAGAAAGAAACAACACTTCCTCTGCCACTTCTCTGGGGGAATTAATTTGTAGCAAAAGGGCTCTTACCATTAGGGGCTTTTGTTTGTTTTTAAATCTTGCAATTATTCTTATATTTATTTCATTACTCCTAGTTGTAACTCTTGGGATCACAAATGCAATTCACTTCCTCTTTCCTGTTTATAAGGAATCTTTTAAAAGATTCCAGACCCTTATTAATTCTTCCTTTCCATTTGGCCAAAGCTGATAGGTTTAGTAGTACTGTTAGTAGAAACCCCAAATCTGAAATTTTTGCTGTATATCACTCTAGTAGATTTCCCAGTGTTTAATAATAATAGTGCATGGTGGGATGGGATTTTTATCTTTAAGCTGGAGTTACTTAGCATGGTGGCCTTTTTCCAAGGAAAATCTCTGGTTCTTTCTGAATATGCAGGGCCCAGAGTTACAGTGACAGGAGCAATTTCCTGGCTCTTTTGTATTTTTAAACAATATTTAAGATTATGATAAGGTTTGTTCATTGTTTTTCCCTGCCATATTTGAACAAAATCCTTTTACAAAAATAATCTCCAATATTTTCAACAAGATTGTAGGCACTCTTTAATGTTTGGTTGGATAATTTTCATTTTAATTTGATACTGTTGCTAAGTTTTGAGGGCAGAATATGCATCCATTTAAAAAAAATAAATAAACTGTGGTAGAAGTATCAGCAAGGCTCAATTTTTGATAGAGAAATGAATACGTTCCTGTAAAACTGCTTTGGCTAGTTCAGTTTTGGGGGTTTTTACTGGGGTTTTTTAATGTTTGGCAAAGTTGAGTCAAAATTTATTATTAATGTGTATTGTGGTGTTCTATTTGGATTTTTTTGTGTTTCTTGCGTTTTGTTTAATGGTTTTTCTGGTGTGCTTTGGTGTGGATAATTACATTATAAAATCCACATTTCCCTTTTCTCATAATTCTGCTAGGGAAAATTCAGCATCTGTGAAGGTGAACTAATATTGAGCCTGTGATGTAACTGTGTGAATAAAGTAATGACCTGAGCTCTGAAGTGAGGACTGTGTTTAATGTTAGTTCTTCCCCTAGCTTGTATTGCAGCCTGTGTTATTTTAAGCCATGTCAGTACGTCACCAAGAAAGCAGTATGATCCTTCAGAGAAGTTTTAAAGAGGGTTAACCAGTATCTGCTCTTAACATCTAAAAATGTAAATTTTAAAATTGATGCAGCTTATTGTCGCTGATTCGTTTCCATATGGTGAACTGCCAGGTACTGCTCATTCAGGGAATTAATTAATGCTTGGCTAAATGGTTGATTGCTTCCTGCTTAATGTCTGTCTTCAGGGTGTGTGAGAATGGCCAATGTGCGAATGGAACCCACGGTGCTACTTCCGAGATAAAGAAATCAAAACATCCAGAGTCAGGTACAGTTCTTGTTTTTTTGTTGTTTGCTGACAAGATTTACTCTGTGCTGCCCTAGGGGTGCAGCAGGAAAACATTCACTTCTTGTGGTTGTGTCATTCAGGAGATGTCTATGATGCACCTACTGTTCCGGTACCTTTGCCTCCTGCACGGCCTCCTGCCAGAGACAACCCCAAACACAGCTCTTTGCTCAACAGGACACCCTCCGATTATGATCTTCTGGTGCCCCCTTTAGGTTGCAGACTTTTTGCTGATTACATGTAATGGTTAACACTGCCCAGATGAACTAAATGCCATGTTTACTGAAAAACAACCATTGTTGAGTAGGTTAGGAGTACCAAACAGGCTATGAGCTAAATATTACAGCTGTCAGTCAATATTTTGTGTCATTTGGAGTCTGTTTGTAAGGCCTCACTTGAGACAGACAAAAAGATATACTACGTTTGTATTCCAGCTATACAGAAAAGTAAAAACCATTTTCCCTAAAATAAATTTTAATTGTCTCTTACTAAGAAGTTTGAGCATTGCAATTTAATGCAGTAGTGGAGCATTTTTCCTACTGTAGCTCAAATAATTCCATTTATTTTATCAAATACAAAGAAGAATGCCAAAAAGATGGTATTTGAGTAAAAAACCGTAACCACTAAATTAAATCAATAAGTTAATTTCTGGGATTTTTTTCCCCCATCAGGGGACAGTTCAAAACTCACTGCAGTCTACAGGCACCAAAAGCTCTTTTTTCCAACCCCGATTTCTCTTCTCCTACACAAAATTCAGTGATCTCTGCATATATTGATGCTATGCTTGGGGACCACCCACGCTATCATTGACAAACTCGGCTGCATGGTTGTGTCTCTATGTGTCAGCATCCAAATTTCTGGTTCCATAAAACCTTTTGAACATTTTATGCTCTCTCTGGTCCCTGAAGTGTTCCTGAGATGCAGGAGAAATGAAGGCAAAATAACACATAAAAATCACGGTGCTTGATAACTCCTGCTTGCAGCACCTTTATAACAGGTGCATTCTTTTGCCAAGCTCTGGAAAATTCCGTTTATATCTGGAGTCAGAGCTTCTGAACAGTAGATAGAGATAATACACAGTATAAATGTAGCAGGTTGAGTGCAGTCAGCTTTGGTGTTTGTATATAAATACACTTGCTTAGCCACTGAAATACAGCTGTTATTCTACCCTGATACTCTTTGAAGCCTTCATTGTAGTACACTCTTGGCAATTGAGCCACTAAAAGCAATCTCTCCTTCCATCCCAGCAAAGAAACTGAGCACTGCAAAAGGTCATTCAGAGCATGTTTTAGAAGAAGACTGTGGGTATTAACAGTCAGGTTTACAATTTCATTACTGGAGTCACTGAACTGCTTAGATGAATTGTAGGAGTAAAGGCCTCAGCAGCCAGAGAAAAATAAAGTTTAAGCTTTATTCTTTATTCTGCAGTTCTTAATGAAGTTTTGCTTATCTAATAATTCATTTCTATTCTGCAGGTGAAGATGCATTTGATAACTCACCCCCCTCACTCCCACCACCACCACCACCTGCTCGGCACAGCATGATTGAGCACACAAAACCTGCTGGCTCAGGGAGCCGACCCTCATCAGGACATGAACTGTTCCTTCATTCTGGTAGGAATACAGGGGAAACAGCGTGTTTCATTTTATTTTCCTTTACTTCAGAAGTTTATCTGTTCAGTGTTAAAGTTGTCACCAGGCCTCAGAAGTCATTATACAAAATATTAAAAAAAATCAAAATTTCAAATGGTGGAGGTGAAGTGACTCAGAAAATATAAAGACTTCACTTTTCATTATCACAAAGTCATAAAATGAGGTCAATATGTCTATATCATGGTAGAAATTTTGTAAATTGTAGTTTGTTTTAAATAGTAAAACATAATTCATGAGGGATATTTTCAAGTTGAAACTTTGAAAGAAGTTATAAAATAAGAGAAAAGAATATTCTGCTTTGTTAGAACTGTTGTAAAAGTTTGCTACTTAACTATATTGTGAATACAGTTGCTAAGTCCTAGGGTTCATAACCTTTTTGCTAAGTCAGGTTTTCACCTATCTTTCCCTGCAAATGACTGTGATACAATCAGTCTGGTATTTTGCTTATAAAAGGTATGAAAACTGTGTTTACAATTAATGATTTTTGTGTTTGAGTTGAAAAGAGTCTTATTTTTAGGTTAATGAAGTTGAATAGATTTGCTGATTATGATACAGATTACGGTAGGATTTTTGTGGGTTATAGCACATGTCTGTGAAGTGATTTTTAATTTTTTTTTTTCTCTGTGGAAGCTTTCAAAGGATGTTGGTGTCTTTAAGTTTACCTTTTCTGTGAATATTTTCAGGGATGATCTGCTTTGTGCTGGGGTTAGATGTTGTATTCCCCCTCTCTGTTTTTCTTAGAAGCTCTATGGGGAGGGATAAAATGAAATGTTTTGGTGATGGTTTCATAGGTGATGGTTTCACAGAATGTGAATGACAAGCAGTCATGTGCAGCTGCATGATGGCCTGACAGGTTCTCTGGTGTTTGGCTGACCTGTGTGAGTGGAACTCCCTGTGGGGGGAAAGGGAGCTACTTTAGGTTGAAGTGCAGTGACCTTTTATGGAATGTTTTTATTATGTATGTTTTCCTGTCAGTCAAGGCCTGACACTGAGTAATTTGCCAAAGCTTTGTGTATTTTGTAATGCAAATTCAACTCAGTGTGTTCCTTTCTCATCTAAGTTGCTGAATGCATCCAGGTGAAAAGACTTAGCATGCTACAGAATTTAAAGGTTGATGTTCATAAGTACAGCGTTGTTTTATCTTGTACACTTCAAAAGAAAAACAACTTCAGCAGTCTAGTCAGAATGGGTGCCTCAATTGTATCATCTGATGCAGAAATACACACTGCACCATTCAGTTCTGATGGGAATGGAGAGGAAAAATAGGAGCCCTCACACACAGATGCGCACAAGCTCCATCTGCCTGTGCCCAGTGTCCAGAAACATGCAGAGTTTTACATGTTTAAGTGTAACTTCCAAATAATCTAAGAATGTCACCGATAGTGTTAAAAAACATTTAATAGCTTTAAAATAAATACCTGGAATATGTATCTAAAGCCATATATTGTTCTTCACATTTGCATAAGGAATACAATCGTGCAGCAGCAGTTCTCATTAATCTTAGCAATGTATTGCATCTAGTTAGGCATGCATAGTTGTGTGAATTGGTCTTTTTTTATTCATATGGTACTTCTAAAGCCATATTACTCACTTTGCATCTTGTCACATAATCTGTTCTAGAAGATTTATGATGAGTTTTTGATGATTGGTTTCCATACAAGTCTTGAGGGTGATTTCTCAGCTATCCATCAGAGCCTGTCAGATTAGAATAATAATCTCATCATCAACACCAGTGAAAAGTTGTTCTCACATACAAAACAAATACTCTGCAAGCACTGAGTCCAGAGCAGAAGCCAGATCTAGGATGGATCTCCAGTTGCTCAGCAGCATCTTTGGTAGCCAAAGAAGAAAGAAAAGAAGTGGACAATATATCAAAATTCTTACTTACCTAATTTTTCAAATTCTGTCCCTGTAATATTTACCCACAGCTGGGACTGTATGAATAGGAAATCAGCCCTGCAGTCTTTGTGAACTGCAAAGCATAGAAGTGTAATGAAGCTATAAGCAAACTGAATAGCTGGGATGTTTCTAATTGTGCTGCTTCAGGCACTGCAACCTCTTCGATGCTTTGCCAGGCACAATCCCAGCAGCATCAGGGTTGGGTGGTGTGCCTCATGGATGTGAGGAGAAGAGACCACAGTCAGTGCAGGACAGACCACCTTTGAGCTGTGCTCCTGTGTTTGTCACTTCAGATCATATTTACACGTGTACTGTGAATGCTGAATTTGGAGTTTTATGTGCATGTGCTGTCAGAGGACATCTCTGGATTCATGGTTTCTCTGCATGATGGGAGGCTACTCTAATCCTACCGTCTATGCTTGAGCCCTCCCTCAAATAGTAATTCTGATTATTCTAAGACACTTTTTAAATTCTTTTATCACAGATCCCCATTTTGACTCAGTAACTGGTCATGTTCCTTTGCCACCTGCTCGGAGAGCACCTGGAGAAAATGTCAAAACAAATAGGACATCTCAAGACTATGATCAACTTCCTCCATCTTCAGGTAAGGCAGAAAACTTTTCTTGTAGAAAAATACAATTCTGTGAAGAATATAACTTTCATCCATAAAGTCCAATGAGTTTTTTGTCGTTCTGCTCAACAAATTGCAATGGTAATGTTGCTTTACAAAAGAATGAAATCATCAAAGGGTAACAGACTTAAGTTGTGCAATAGAGGTAGAAGTGGCTACTTGTTGTGTGTAGGTGTATATACTATAGCATCCATTTTACTAGCTGCCAAACTGAATGCTTATGTCAGTTATAGTGTTCCTTATTTTTTGAGAAAGGCAGAGATTTTCCTGACACCTTTCAATGTCATAAGGGATCAGAAGTACTGAAAGGAGCACAAGCATCTGATTTCCATCTGTTTTATTTCTCCTAAACAAAAAAACTAGTAGCTTAACTTTCTAAAGTATTATCATTTTCTGTCTTTTTTGTTAATATGTTTGTCTGAATTTCTAAGAAGCTTTTAAGATGTTTCTTAATAAAAGAGCAAGAATCAAAACCACTTAAAATTCAGTCTTCCTTTTCAATGGAACAGGTACAGTAGAAACAATTCCTCTGCCAAAGAAATTTTGGTTATGGTTTACAGGTAACAAAAATAGTAAATTTAAAGGAAATCTACTAAGTGGATAAAAACAACAACAGTATTACCTGTACTTCAAAGTACCTTCACCAATTTTTAGACAATTTTTTTTTTCTTTAGGATGTGTATGGTACTTGGGGAAGGGGGAGGATTGGCCCAACTGCAATCTTTTCCTGTATGAAGAAACCACACAAAGAAAAAACCAAGGCATGTTTTGTACCATTAATCATTCTCCAGATAGATAAAATTTTGTGTAGAGACTTTTTATGCATAAAGAAAAGGACTTTTCTCTAATCTTTCAGTTGAAATAATCACCATTGTTCAAATAAAGCATTCCCAAGTGGAAAAAAAAAAAAAAAAGATATATTTTTTAATAGTAGTTGCAGTCTCCTTCTCAGAAATACAGATTTTCATACTGCTGAGGTATAGCGGGGAAAAAGAGTACGTTCTTCCAGCTGAAATGGTGGAAAATTTCTGTAGCTCTCTTCAGGCTATTATTTTTTTAATGAATAGCATAATTGTGAATTAGTGTGATGCCTTTGATAAATACTATCTCTTTTGGGAGGGTATCTTTACAAGTATAGCTGTTTCTCTTTTTGTTTCCAATTGCTGGAAGAAAAGAGTTATAATGCTTTATAAGTGGCATTGTGAGGGATTTGTCTTTAAACGCTCAATCAATCTATTCAGGGTGTTTTGAGTTCTCTTATAATGCAAATTATGACAATGATGTAACTACTTTTAAAGCTATGGAGTTTTCCTGCAATTCTTGCACTTCTGTGGTAGAACCATTTTTAATTTTCCTAAATTACTGCAAGATACTTGCTAGTTAAGAACTTGGAGCTTTCTGGTGCTACTTAATACTTTTCGATCTGTTTCCCACGGCTATCTTCTAAAACGCTCACGTGTCAGCTTTTGCTATAAATATCATTCTAAATCAGCATGATATGCAGCAAGATATTCCATTTAATTTCAATTAGATGAAAACTATGTGATAGATCATGTCATTCTCTTAATTGGAAAGTTGTTTTTACAGTGTCAGTAATTCCAAAGGACAGAACTGATGAGCTGCAGGATGAACAGGTTCACCTTCATCTATGATTTAAAAAGACAATGTAGAGAGTGTAACTGTATTCAGAACTTTGCTTTTGCATTTATTCTGAACTAATCAGCTCACTTAAGAAATTATTCATTTCAGTGCTTTTGTAAGGTAATTCTCTGAACTAGCTGAAAAAGAAATGGAGTTCACTCTAAAATCTAATTATTATTTAGCTACTGGGTTCCTAGAGTAGCATGGGCAGTGCTTTAACTTCCCTGCTTCACTTTCACTGTTTTTAAGATTGCTGTAGTGATGTTTAACTGAATCCTTAAAGTCTACCGAGTAATTTAGTCTAATTCAGATACCCAGTATTGAACACTTCAGAAATAGTACCCAGCCATGCAACCCACTCCCCCAAAGGCATGGTTTCTCCAACTTCTTATATACAACTGTTTAAAATTAGTACAAAAAGAGCGAGAAAAGGAAATAGGACTTGGGGGTGCTGTGGATGAGAGGCTGGACATGAGCTGGCAACGTGTGCTCAGAGCCCAGAAAGCCAAAAGGATTGCATCCTGCTGTCCTGCATCCAAAGCAGTATGGCTAGCAAGGCAAAGGAGGGAATTTGGCACCTCTGCTGTTGTGAGACCTACCTGGAGAAATGCATCCAGCATAAGAAAGACATGGACCTGCTGGAGTGAGTCCAGAGAAGAGCACCAAGGTGATAAGAGGGATGGAGCACCTCTCCTGTGAGGAAAGCCTGAGACAATTTGAATTGTTCAGTCTGGAGAAGGGAAGGCTTTGGGGTGACCTAATTGTGGCATTCCAGTACATGAGGGGAGTGTAGAACAAGCAGGAGACTTTTTACAAGATCAGGCAGTGAGAGGACAAGGGAGAACTGAAGGAGATTGGATGAGGTATCAGGAAGAAGTCCTTTACTGTGAGGATGCTGAGGCCCTGGTTCAGGTTGTCCAGAGAAGCCTCATCCCTGGCAGTGTTCAAGGCCAGATTGGATGTAGCTCTGAGCAGTCTGGTCTAGTGGAAGGTGTCCCTGCCCATGGCAGGGGGTGCAGGATTAAAATATCTTTAAGGTCCTTTCCAACCCAACCCATTCTATTATTCTATGATATTGCTAATAATTAGAGTATTTTACCTAAACACAGCCAATAATAAGAGGGAAAGGAAGAAGAAAATTAAGCCTCTAATTGATGTCTGCTCTATTTTGCTAACTTAGCTATTCTGTAAGATACAGATTCAAATGATTGGTTAATATATTTGCCTGCTGCCTATTCATTCTCTCAGTTGGCCTTATGAAGACGCTTGCAAATTTGGATTCCTTTTACAAGAATATTGTTCCAGGGTTTATTTCAGTTAACACTAGAGGTAATAATGTAATCCACAGTATTGCAAAGTACAAAGATCATGCCTAACAGCTTGATGGAGCAGCATGTGCAGTGGGTCCTTCCCTCACCTTCTCCCTGTTCTCTGAGTTCCTTAGAGTACATGTCCCCTGGGTGTGCTTTGTTCCTGTACCCCACTTAGGTGAGGTGTAGCTGCTTGCTACTGTTCCACAGAGGGCCTTCACAGCAAGCCTTGGTCACCTGCAATCCAGGAGAAGCAGTGAGGGAAGAAAAGAAGGGCATTTCCCAGCAGAGAGGAACAGACAGTTGGCATTGTTACAAACAGCCTTCTCCCACTGTGCCATAGAGCTCTCACCACTTCCCTGTGCTTTTTAAATACCTACTAAATGAGCCTGTGTCTGCTTTTGTACTAACCCCTTACCTAAGGGTTCAATCTAGTGCTGAATTACAGAACTGGGAGCGGTGGAAGAAGCTGCTCGTGGTAGAAACTGCTAATTGAATTGCACAGTTAGAAAATCTATTGGGATTCTTAGACATCTGTGGTGGCTGAAACATCAGAGGATGGGAGGTAGGGAAGCAAAGTTCTGCTTAATACCTCTATCTCAGTGTCCAGATGGACATGCAGCTTAGGCTTAGGATCTTTAAGCTCAGGATCCAATATGATACCCAGCTTTAGCTGAAATTTTATATGGATGTGAAGATATTGAAAGAGATGTCAGCATTTAAAAAAATAATAATGGGAATTGAGAGCGCTGAAGATCTCAGAGTATCTGTGCTATAGAGAGATGTTGCTGTAGTGAGAATAAAATGCCTGTGCTTCAAATCTGCTGACAGAATTAAAAATGACCTTTCTAAATGATGTGACTGCTTAATAAGGTTTGTTAGAAAGCCTTAGTGAAGATTTTAAACACGAAATAACTTCAGTTTTAAGCCTTTATTAGGCTGAGTCAAGCAAAAATATCCTCATGTAACACAAGCACAGGGAAGGATCTGATTTATGCATAAGGAATTTCTTCTGTACTTCAAGCCCAGGGGAAAATGCAAAGTTTGTAAATTTAATTTTGTTTCATACTGTATAGAAATGAAGTTCATAATGGAATGTACATATTAAAACAGCTTGAAGGTTTGTGAAAGAAAAATTACTGGTTTTAAATAATGTGCCATTATTCTAAAGATAAAGAATATTATTCTTTTGCAGTCTTGAGTTTACTAAAATAAGTGAAGTGAGAAATTTGTACTTGTTTCTGATTCAGTTTTATAGTGATTAACCACATTTCCTGAGCTATAGTTAATTTCTCAGACAAGTGTTTCATGGATCTTCCACACCTTCATAGCAGGTTTGGATCTGCTTCAGAATGTTTATAATTTACATAATTCTTTTTATCTTCAGAGAGAAAAAAATCAAAACAAATATAAAGTAGCCCTTAGTAGCTGTAGGTCTCAGCCCCTTACTGTAAATGTTTAATCAAATTTCTTTCATCCGTTTGTCTGTGGAATATCACCATCTTTCTAAAGGTAATATTAACTCTCTGAGTTAAGAAGTGAAATTAAATTTTATAGCAACATGCATCCAAATTGATGGAAAAACTAACTTGAAAGGAAAATACACCTGCATTAAACATGCTCTTGTGTGAACTGCTTTTATTTATCTGAAGTGTTTAATGCACTTGGTTGAATTATAGTTCTCTCTGTCCAGTGTTATGATAAGGTTACAACAAGAATACTGGATATATAACATTTCTTCCATGCCTAAAGAACAGTCTCTGAAGTACTTAACACTGGAAAATGCCACTGCTCTCAGTGTAAGTAAACAGGAAGTATCACAGCCAGAAATTCATCTAATTTATCTATCAAAGTCACTGTTGATAGGACTTGTTAAAACCATTTTTGAAGGATTAAAGACTTTTTAATTTTTTAGATGCTTTGCTCTTGAAAGTGTTTTCTGTACTGTGCCTGCTTGTATTTAAGCTTCTTATTGTGGAATCAGTGAGGATAAAGGCATTTCAGTAAAGTACCAAGTTTACTTGAGCACAGAACTCTTGACTCTGAGAAGATTAGCAAGTTTGAATATTAGCTTTTTTTCACCAGCACATCATGATTCTTAGTCACCAGCATTAACTGTGAAGGTAACCTTTCCATAGAAGATAAGAAACCAGGAGATACTCCCATAGGGGCACTGGAGAGAAAGGAGTGTGTTCTGTTCTCATCATGGGGAGTAATAGGGCTGGAGGTCTTTTGGAGAAACCACGTACTTATGTACTTATGTTTAGCTGCTGTGCATGACATGAGTAGCAATTGAATGAACAGAATTTAGAAAGTGGACCAATAAGGATTTTTCTCCTTTAGGTGTATTTGTCTGAATTCCTCTTCAACACAACTTAGGGTCTTCAATAAAATTGTAATCCAGTTTGTGTTTGGGTTTTGCTCATTTGTTTGTTTTTGTAGGGTTTTTTTCCTTGGGCTTTTTATTTGTTTGTGGGTTTTTTATTAGTTTGTTTTGTTGCTTTGTTTTTTAACTCAGATATTGTCAAATTGTGGGTTGAGAGTGGAAAGCCTTTAAGAGTTTGACTGGCTGTTTTCACTCTTTCTCCTGTTCCATCATACTTTCTTTTTGTTTCAACTTTCAATAATCCAAATTGTAAATTGCATGTTCCTATATTATTATTATTAAAATAGTATATTGCTACGTTATTTCCATTTTGGACATTCTTGAGAACATCAGCTTCTGTCAAAATTTTAAAATGAGCTATATTGGTAAACTAAAATATTTCTTCAATTTCCTTTAGAATTTTACTCTTAAAACAGCTTCATGGGGTTTCACCAGCCCCAATTATAACACAGTCTTAGGCCAATTTATAATGATTTTTATCTCTTTTATTTGAAACAGATGGTTCACAAGCACCAGCCAGGCCCCCTAAACCACTTCCTCGGAGAACTGCACCAGAAATGCATCACAGGAAAGCATACAGCTCTGACAGTTCCATGGAAAATGTGGATGCAAAAATTGCAAAACTTATGGGAGAGGGCTATTCCTTTGAAGAAGTCAAGAGGGCACTTGAAATTGCCCAGAATAATGTTGATGTGGCCCGCAGTATTTTAAGAGAGTTTGTCTGTTTTCCTCCACCAGTCTCCCCGCGTCTCAATCTATAGCAGCATCAAGATTTTCTTGGAGCATATGAATTCTGCAGATACACATGTGGATTGGGGAATGAGAGGAAGAACAGAATGGAATATTTTTATTCATCCTTAGCAGAAGGGTGTTTGTTTCCAGCCGTTTATCAAAGGCTCCTGGCTGCTCTGATCAAGACTTATAAATATGCTGAGGCTTATGTATTTTTGCTAGCCATACTTTTTTAAATCAGGGTTGAACTTACAAAATAATTTAAAAAAAGTTTACTTCCCTAGAACTTTTAATCTGTGAAATGCTTTTTCTTGTTTACAAGTTGGCAAGTTACAGTTTTCTAGTTTGTGCCTGTACTATGTCCTGTTCATATTCCCTTGTACTTGTGGTCAGTTCTGCTGTAGCATTCCCAACAGTTTCCATGCTGACCACTCCATCAACTAAATCATCACTTTCCAGGAGTTCTGTTTTTCTTTTGGTCTTTTTTTTTTTTCTTTAACAAGATGCTTTAATTGTTTTTTGCATTTCAGCTCATCAAATGCAAAAAGTATGTGGCCTTCACTACTGATTTTTTTTTTTCTTCTGAGATTCCTTTGCTTTTGAGAGAGGAGATATCTGAATGTAAAATACATTATTCTGTGAACTGCCTTTTTAAAGGTATTTTGACAGTAATGTTGGGCAGCTTTCTGTTTAACAAGAATTCCATGACCTGAAGTCTCAAGGTCTTTATATACAGTTTCCACAAAAAAATCCCAACCAACAAATAAAACACTTCATGCAGCAGTGATACTGAGTTCTCACGTGTAAAATCTCTTTCAAAATTGAGTATTTGATTGCAGATGTTTAAAAAAATCCAAATGCACATGATAATACTGTGTTTTGATTACACACTAATGGCACCAATTCTTCACGGCAAGACTAAAAGGAATCTTTTTCAATTATATTAAAGGTATTCAGATGAATTCCAGTTCTAGATTCAGTAAAGTAGAATGCGTTTAATGTTTTGTTTGAGTGATTATCCTGTGGTTCATTGTGGCTTGGATCAGTTTGTATTAACTTGGAAACTTTAAATCTTTGATGCACTGTTAATTCCTAATGCTACTGTAGCAATATTTTTTGCAAAGTTTTTTAATAACCTCCTCCCTCCCCTGTACACTTCATAATCCTCAAGGATGTGTTGAACACCCAAATTCATTCAGTCACTATCCAGCTGCTTAGTTGGAAATATATTTTTGCTTTACTTGATTAGTGATACTCCAAACTTTGACATTTTATTTTTGAGCCCAAATTGATGTAAGCCAATTTTTAAATCTTCCTGATTTTAAAAACGAGAGAGAAGACAATTCTATTCTGAGTATGTTCAAGTTGAGTCCAAATATTTCCAGAAAAATTCTTAAGACTGCTGCTTTCTTGGTTTTTTTTTAGGAAACTTTGAAATTTTTCTTCTAATAGTATTGAACAAATAAAAAAAAAAAACCACGTGGTATTTAGAATATTTTTCTCATTTTGATATGTGATGAGTATATGAAAATTTTCAGTGTGCCAGGCTGGGTGTGAGGTATATATTAATTATTCCCTTTCAGCTGTTAGTGTTCTCTTTCACTCTGAACAAGTGCTAGAATTTATATCACTTACAGGATCAGATCTCATCAGCCAGTGTGTTTGTTGTAAAGATGTTTTGAAGACAGCACATGGCTGAACTGCAGGATTTGAAGTAACTGAGAACACCCGTTGGAAATTACTCTGCTATTTTAAAGTCCCATTGTTTCATGAAAAAATTTGTTCTTAAAACTAATTTAATTATTTTGTAGCATCACAAAGCATAATATGGATATTGTCAATCTGTGTCAGTGATAAAAGGATGATCAGGAGAATACAGGGAAGAGCTGCAGCAGCATTTGGATATGAGCAAATGCTACTGAGTTTGTACATCTTCCTGTAATTGTTCATTCCTCAAGTACAGCTTAGGAAAAGTTTTGGTGTAAGTTATATTCTGGGCTTTTGGCTCAAGTTAATCTCTTTCCTCTATTTTGGGAGAAAGTTTTGTAAAGTATGGAACCCTCTTGCTCATTTGGTTTGTTTGCAACATCACTGTAGCATTTTAGCTAGCTGTAAATTGAAAATGATTCAGGCTATTAAATTATACACTCTGGTTGTACTGGAATTACTGAAATGAGGTTCTAGCATAACTGCCAGCATTGCAATGATGAAAAAAAGAGCACTTTACAAGGACGAACAAACAATCTGCAGATTGAGTTTTGAAATTTTGAATTGTAATGAAGAACTCATTTTCTCCTTTTTATGCAGCAGCTTAGTATAAATTACATCCTTATATTTCAGTTAGAGGCTGGAACTGCTGCCTGATAGATTAAGGTTTTTAAAGTTTTCCTTCTTTCTGGTTGTGACCACCAGTGACACTTTTTCTTTATTATGTGTTAAAAAACCAAACTTGATTAGCAGTATTTTGAGTGGTAACTTGAAAAGATTTCCATTAATCTTTAAATGAGTGTGCTAATAGCACTTCTAAATAGTGGAAAGTGCAGACTGTTTCAAACCTGTTCTGGTTAAAGTCAAACAGCAAAATTGCTTTGCTAGAGTGTTGATGTTTACTCTGCAGGAATTAATAGGCTTAAAATAAATTAATCTGGCTGCAGTCTAGTTCTCTGAAGACATAGTTCTCTAAACATATTTTTAACCTTTGAAAGACTTAAGGGTTTGAGCCTGGCAGTGTGTTATGCACTTACATAACTTCAAGGAAGACTGATTTGAATGAGAGTGCTTGGGTGAACAAAGTTGGTTAAACTCAGAAACATTTGAAGTCTTTAGACCATCCTTGTGTTGTCTGTTGGCCTCACCTTTTCTCTCCTTTTAGGTAAGTTACTGCATTTTAAGCAAATTGGCTGAATCAGAAGTTGGGCAGAGCAAGTGGACATCAGCAGCACAGATTTTTGCCAAAGGCTATGCGTAGGAAAAATTTAAATTGTGATAAAGGAAACTAATATAATTAGCCATGTTAATGGCTTGTCTGGAACCCTAAAATGGCCACTGGTAAAATTTGTTAATGTCCAGTATCTCAAGAGTGCATCTGGCACAGTTTTTTTACAATGTGAATTTAGGAAATTTTGTACCAGGATCATTTCTTCTGTTGTACTTCTCTCATTTTCAGCTTGAAGCTTTACTTTGCACTGACAACTCTGACCTGAAATTTGTGTCTTAAATATTGACAAATTTTGAAGAAAATGAACACCATATTCAAAGCACATTCAGGTGCTACCTGATGACCTGGAATATAGCGCTTTTAGGAGTGACTTCTTGAAAAAGGACTTCAGCAGTTTCCATTTTGAAGGATTTTCTTTCAAATAACTATTTTATCTGAAAATGCCTTTTATAAACTTGTCTAATGTGGCACATTTAGTGATGTGTTCAATTAATTTATATTTTATTCAACATTCTTTTTAAATTTTGGTTATTATGTATGCTCAAGTTCTTTATCTGTTCATGTAAGGTATTTTATAAAATTAATGTTAAGAGAATGTTGGGTTGGTCCATGATTTTTCAAGACTCTGTCTCTGTTACTGAATATTACCACTTTTCATATGATGCTTTAGCAACATAACCTGTCCTGTGTCGGGGCCTTAAAAAACATTGTTTTGTAAGCCACAAAAATGAGGCCTTGCTCTAAAATAAGGTGAATCATTGCTTTGAGACATGTACTTTTCATCCCCATACATTACCTCATTTCTAAATTTCAGTAGTAAAAGTTAATAAATTGGCAGTAATTTTGGAATGTGCATGTAATAGTTGTATAGCAGAAAGATGGTAACCATTAAATATTTAGAATCCAAAGTGGTGAACACATAGTCCGACTGTATATTAATTTGCAGGATTTTTTTTCCTGAAGAAAATTACTGTAACTGACACTGATACTTTTTTAATATCCTGTGTATTTACATTCTCAAGCATTGTACTCTTAATGTCAAAAATATTTTAGCTGTGTAAAACATTTTTTTCTCTATTACTGTATCCCAGCATTCTGGAAAAAGTTTAGAAAATCGAACCCCTCTACTATGCATGACAACGCAAGTGTTGCTGTTTAAACCTCAGCACTGTTCCCAGCACTTGGATTAGACCTTCAGTGCTGAGATTTTCATGGTACTTCTTTCAGTGTGTTAAATCCTTGTCCACTGTGTATGTCACTAATCACATTGCTAATTAGGGAATTTACCTGTTTGGAATGCTTGTCTTTAGTACTACAGGTGCCCATTTCTGTCATTTTTACTCTTATGTGAAAGTTAGGTGTTATTTTATTGTGTTACAATCAAATTTTAGCAGCTGGGTGCTCTAGGAATGTTTCAGGAATTTTTGTTTGATACACCCCGCCATTATTCTGTGTGAGATACCTGCCTCCATTTACCAGTTTCAGTAAGTTTCCATCAGGAAATTTAGATTTTAAAACACTGTGTGTTACTGTGGCATATAAACATTCCATTTGGCCTTAGATGATCTCATGTCTAGCAGTGGAAATTCTTATTCAGAATGAATGCTAATTCCCAATTCTTACTCTTAAATCAAAAAATAAATCTTAAATTTGTGAAACTTAATTGCATAAACATCCTCAACATTGTAAGGAACTTAGATGATTCATAATGACGTGAACTGTGACGAGATTCTTGCTTCATAGACCTGCCAGAAGTAAAACCATAAACCCATTGAGTAGTGATCTTCTCACTGTGAAGCTACTTGCATCTGTCTGGATCTGTGCAGGAATCAGCCAGTCCAACTACAACAGTACTTCTTGGAAAACAGCATCTTTTATTGCAGTAAGTGCCACAGTAGCCAGCAGGATGGGAGATGAGCAGGTAACTAGGCAGAAGGAGATAATTTTGTAATAATGATCCAAGCCCCTCTCTGCTGTTGCCATGTAAATTTAGTTAGTGTGAATTGCCTGGAGATCTAGGGCACAGAAAGGAGTGTTTGTTTATGATTTTTCCAGTTCTCGGTTACTGTGTTCTTCTCCAGGGGAGTGTCCTTCTCTGAGGACAGTGTGTCTTATTTAGAAGGCACAGTGTTTAGGAGCAGGATGCCAGGGTTTTAGCAGCAGAGGGAAGTGTGAAATAGCATTCTGCTCACACAGTGTTTGCATGCTAGCAAAACAACCAAAAGCTTTATAAGGATTCCAGTGGAGACACCTCTGTTTTCAAGCTCATTATCTTGGCTTTTGAAGGATGTGTGTTTGTACGCTGAGATGTGTGTGCTGGTCTGGTGGAGCGTGGAGGAGAGAAGAACACCAGGTGATGCCAGCCTGGGGAGTTCAGACCATGTGGTAATCATGTTACAAAACACCTGCTCTTTTGGGTAGCTGAATCTGCACAGTAGTCAAGCTACTACAGTCAGCCATGTCCTACAAGGCAAGTTTTTTTGTCCCTGTGTAGCTGGGGGGTGCATACATTTAC